CGGTCGCTCCTTCTTGACATAGCAGTTGATGGTGTCGAACTCCTCCTTGGTGATGGCTGGTGTTGGACGGCCCATTGTTGTTTGTGAACGTGAATCGAGAATGACAGGATAGAAGTCACGGACATAAACACGCAACCTTGTCAAATATTGTATTCTCAGAACGCCTCCAACAATCACAAATAGAAGGATATAGAAACGTACGATGCATATTGACATTCATTCACAACTTTGGAGCAGAATATTTTGCAAGGTATTGTGTTTCAGGATCATTTGATTGCACGGTTCGAACCAGCGCGCGATGCAGATTCGTTTAACGTATTCCAAGTCTATCGTAGCATGTTTTTTCACATAAAGGAGTAAAAGTCCCCTCGATGACGTCCGCCACTGTAAGTAGTAGAAATTCAAGTTTGCGTGTAGATGTGATGAATAATTGGTTGTGATTGATTGTTTCAGCATTTTGTACCTATTTATATTAACGCTACGTTGAATTCGTTGTAACGTTAGGACAACTTTTCGACTAGCGGGGGAAGTTCAGTGTTCTGTACGTGGGCAGCATGAAATTGAAATCCACGTCATAGATACTACGGATACAACTCAGTGCCATGTTGAGCGACTGTGCACAAACGACTTGAGCGGCTGTACTCAATTGGCGTGAAACGAAAGTTGCTTCAAGCCTTTGATGAGCAAAATGTCAGCAACGTGTGCGCAGTATTTGAGATACCACGTGCCACTAGTATTGGTTGGCAACATCAACGAACACGACCAACCACAATCAAACGCAACACAAAAAAACGACAAGGGGGGACAACGCACAAAGGCCCTGTTTCCATTCAAGAACGAATTGCTTGAATTTGAAAGATGTTCGAGGCGAGGAGCATATATTGACCTCGTCGCACATAATCAACTTCATGCCGATCTGCAATACGAAATGGATGCGACTGAACGCGACGATTACACCTCCATTCTCAAGCTGGGCCTGGACTTTGCATAGCGTCGTCAGTTTTTTCACCGTTCCCATGTCATTCCAAGGTGCATACGGAGAATACGATCCGGATACAAAATGAATTCTCTACCGAGTTCTAAGGAAAGTATTCTCTGAACGACAGCCGTGACATGTTGACGCCGACGAAACCACAGTGCATTACGACAAGCCTCAAGAATAAATTTGGGCCGAAGTCGATGGCTCGTCCAAGGTCGACAAGATACAGAAGCATTCAGACAGACTGACAGTCGTGTTCACTTGTCGTTTAAATGAAAAGACATACAGTAATATTGTTATTATGCTTGTCTAGGGGAGAAGCTGCTAATACTCTTCATGTACCCAGTGTGCGGCTGGATTAATCGACAATGTTGAGCTGGAGATATTCCCGGATGACCACATTTTTAGGATGTTCAACAGTAAGTGTGGATGAATAAATGTGTGTGGAAGATGTACATGGAGATGTATCCATCATACATTCTTGCCCCATCTGTGGTCGTACTCGTCCCATCTGTGGTCGTACTGTAGCAGACAACTTCGATGCTCATATCACACAAGTATCACCTGACGCAGTTTCGGGTGACCTACGTAATCTGCGTCCTCGAGGCTCTGCCTGCGAACTGCACATGTGTTTATCAGCCATTCGACGTTGGCATTCTGGGTTTATTCAAGAAACTACTTCGTACTATTTGGCTCGAAGAGGTGGCTGTTGTTTCCGCGACCGAGAAGCGTATGGAATGATCAAACGATGCATTACAGCATGGGAGCGGGTTAATTCCCGAGGTAATTCGAGGATCGTTTGTCAAGGCTTTCCCATGTCCGGAAATTGCGGTCGTGTAGAGACTTAACGGCCATAGGTGTTGTCTTGGTGGAAATAATACGTACTGGGACATGTATATATTTAACACTTTTGAATTGTCACCATCTATATGAGTGTGTGAATGCTTTGTTTGGTCAAGTCAAAAGTTCATGTGTTGCGACAGTTTTTCGCCTGTTCTTTGTTTCTAGACGTACTATATATATTTGAATACATGGTACTCCGGAGTACGAAGTTCTATGCGATATCCCCAGTACATCTGTCGGATTTTTCGGGGGTACATGTATGTATTGCGTCGTGCTACGTGGATGGGTGGCATCCGGATAACACACGGTTGTCCGGATGTTGAATTACTCACCGTCGTCCTCGTCGATGGTTTTCCAGTGTAGAATCGTGAACCTACTGCAGATCCATGGTCCGTCTCGCCGCGCTCTGCACCGTCGTCGCGTCGGCGTTCGCGCTCGACTTCAAGCTGTATGGACTCAACTACAACTCTCGTCAAGGTCCGGACTGGGACCCGAACAAGTGCAAAACCCAGGAGCAGATTGACGCCGACATGGTCAAGATCGCCGCGATCGCGCCGCGTGTACGCATCTTCAGTCTTGTGGACTGCAACCAAGGCGAGATGGTGTTGACCGCTGCGAAGAAGGCTGGGCTCAAGGTATGGCTCGGCATGTGGGTTACCAAGGACGTGAAAAGTGTTGTGAACGAACAACTCGCGATGGAGAAGCTCATCGAGAAGAACCTGATCGATGACTCCGTGCTGGGATTGCACGTCGGCAGCGAAAACATCTACCGCAAGGATCTCACGGCCGTCCAGGTATGTCACATCCACACACGAAGGATCGACCAAGGTGTTGAGTGTGCTGTGACCAGGCGATATCCTACTTGAACCAAATCAAAGCGTTCCTGGCGGGGAAGCAAGTCAAGATCCCTGTCACGATTGCAGACATTGTCGACGTCCTCGTCCAGTACCCGGAAGTGATTGCCGCTGTGGATGTCGTCCAGGCGAACTCGTTTCCGTTCTGGGAACCTGCTGCCATCGAGACGTCTATGGTGAACTTCCGCATTAAGCTGGATGCGTTGACGGCCGCTGCCAACGGCAAGGAAATTCAGATCGGCGAAACAGGCTGGGCATCGGCTGGCCAGAACAAGAATGCATCTGTCGTGAGCCCGGAAAACCAAGCGGTTCGGTTGCTCTCCTCTCTCTCGTTGTCCAGTAACTTGCCTTGGTGCCCCCGTAGAAATACTTGGTCGATCTAGTCAACTTTGCCGACGCGCACAAGCTCAAGTACTTCTACTTTGCTGCGTTCGATGACGCGTGGAAAGCGACCCAGGACGGCAACGTGGACTCGGTCGAAGCCCACTTTGGCATTTACGACAGCAAGGGCGTGATCAAACCCCACTTTGCCACACTCAAGCTGTCGCCGAGCGCAGTGGACGCAGACAAGACCAACGTCACGCTGGCCCCGCCCAAGCCAGGGACCACCCTCGCCCCCGCGGACAGCGGTGCTGCTTCCATCTCGACCGTTGCGTTGGCAGTCTTGACGACCGCTGTCGCCTTCCTCCTTGTCTAATTTGCGTGAACACACTTCTAGATTCCAAATACGTATGCATCGTTGCGTTGGTAGTGGGAGGAAAATCGGCGTAGTTCTGTGTAGGGAGGTCGATAAGAACCATTGCATGTCACGGCGCCAGGATCGAGTTGGAGATAGCAATTCCAAGCAGGGGGCTCAAGAATGCCCGTGCACTCTGGATAAAACAGTGAGCGGTGCCTGGATGAAACGGTGTAAAGTTACACGTCGGCGAGGCATGGGCAGGCGCGGTCCACCCGCGGGCGACGTTTTATGTGGACGCATCGCCAGTCATTTTGCGTGTTTTCGGGCCAAGACGTTCCTGTTCGATGCCACGGCAGTGGACGCACTCGAGCGTGCGCTGGTCGTAGAGATGCGTGAGCTGGCGAAGCGCTTCACGGCGCTGGAAACGACCGTCGATTCTCTCGCAGCGGACAACACGTCTCTGTTAGAGACGATTCAGTCCATGGCCAAACGAAAAGACGACCTGGTCAAGACATGCCACATCGCCGAGGCCGAGATGCAGCGCCAGGTCCACGAAAATCACATGCGATTGCATATGCACATGCAAATGTGGGAGCGCGAAAAGAAGATGCTCCAAGGGCGGTGGGAGATGGACGCCGCCGCTCGCCGACAAACTGCGTTGGATCGCGTGTTACACGAAGCGGGGGTGCGGGAGAAGCGCCATGTGCGACAGATTGAACAGGACAAGAATGTCGAGATCGAACACTTGCGACAACACTTTGCCGTCCAAAAGGAGACTGAGCTCACGATGCTGGCAAGCCAAATCACGAGAAGAGTCCACCACGACATGGAGATCCAAGTCGCCGCGATCCTCGCCGATATTTACAAAGATCAACAGCGAAACCACTCCAAGATACACCAACTGGAGCGCGACCTGCATGACGCTCGCAGCCTCCAGCACGCGACCCTATCTGCTGCTGCCCCCACGACCACAGCTCCCACCACCACGCAGCAGACCTTTCGACACCAGAACATGCACGTACGAGCGCAATGACGCCGCTCTATTCCATCCTGCCTCGCCCGAACGACGTTCTGACACCACCGGCTCGTTGCACCAGAGTTGAACAAGTTTGCCAAACGCTCGACGCTTGGAATTACATAAAGAGGCACCATAAGAATCAAAAAGCTACCGAGCCATGGACACGACCGATTCTAGACTACACGCGGGGCTCACTTGAAGGCGGCCGTGATGGCGGCGTGGAATTCGGCAAGGGGCTTCTGCGGCCGCGGGATTGCTCGGTCGTTGCCGTTGCCGCGGTAGTTGCACCACAACAACGGGTCGTACTTGCCGATGCCAGGGTTGTAGCAGTTGGACCAGCCGCACCCAACGTGGGTGACCCACGTCCCCATCGAGTTGACGAAGTGGCCGCATGCTTCGTTGCCTTCCGTGCACTTGTTGGTGTTGAAGTCCCAGTACTTGATCTCGTCGTACCACCACCAGGACGGTCCTTCCACCGCCATGCAGTTGTCGCCGCACAACAGCGCCGGCGCGAGGTTCTGGACACCGTACGGCCCGCCATGGCCGCCGTTCGGGTGCATGTAGCAATTGTCGGCCCACTCCTGCATGTCCTTGGCCATGGCGTCGTCGTACTCGACAGCATTCAACCCGTGTGCTTGGCGAATCACGCTCAGCTGGTACGCGACTTGCATCCCCAAGTCGCCTTTCTTGGGTGGCAGGGTCGGCGTAGGCTTGGTGGTCGTGTACGGCGATGGGGTCAGAGTGTATCCGCCGTCCGTAACGACATGATGCGCTCGGGCGCCGACGACGCGGACCTTGTACGAGTCGTCGTGTTTGAGGTAGCACGCGCCGTTATACCACACCGACACTTTACACGCTGGGTTCTCTGCACACAGCGCGCAACAGCCGGACGCTTTTGGCGTGTCGGTGCGCAAGAGGTCGTTGCCGGGGTAGTCGACGTCTCGTTCGACGGCGCCGCATGTTCGGCCCGTTTGCACCGGCAGCGCCGCCGACACGACGCCAGGGGCCCACTCAGGATTTCCTTTCGTGTGCTTGAGGTAGCACACGCCGTCGCGCCACGAGTACGCGACGCACCGGTCGGTGCTCTGGCAGTCGGCACAGCAGTCGTCGTGGTTGTCTCGGTCGGTCGCGACGAGATCGTTCCCGTAGTAGTCAATGTCGGTTTCGACAGCGGGGCATGTGATGTCGGCGACGGCCATCGCGACCACCGCGAAGGCGGCCACTGTTTGGAGGGTCGACCACATGTGGCGGACGTGTAAAATGCACAACTGATCGCCGCATCGTGCCACACGACCAGTTGTACGAGCAGTTGAACCCGTTGGACAATTCGTGGGTGTTCCGCCTGAGGCCAGTAGAAACCCCCACGTCACTTGCCACTTGGCGCCGTCCGAGCCAAGGGGCGCTGTCAAAAGCCAGTCGCCAGGCGCGGCGGGGGGTTCCAATTGGGTGCATGCCACTATCCAAGGCACTTCGGCAAAGGTTGGACAAGTTCGTCGGCACCGCCGACTCGCGCTAGCGGCTGGAATATCAAGGCGAGATGGACGAACGATGCTTTGAACTACCTCCGCCCTCTTGGGCAATGACACGGGGCTCGTGGCGCGATGCTGTCGCGGCGACAAGGGCACGTTTGTTCATGTCTGCGTTCCAGTCGCCCCACTTACAGTCAAGTGACTAAAATATCAAGTGCACATGGCTTAAACAGACGAATCCAAGACGACGATGGAGGGAATTCCGAGTCACGCGAAAAAGGCGACGGAACAGTCGCCGAATGTTCCGGTAAGTTCTACATTCAGCAGCGTCAACGCTGACATGCTCAAGTCAAAGACAGCCCCCAGAGGACTGCAGTAGCCCCCGTGCACCCCCCAGGCACTGCAATGAAAGAGAGACCGGCTCCGCGCTCCAGCCCGTGGGTCAGTTCACAACCCCGTCATCGCTCCTTGATCCCCCAGCCATGACGTTTCGTCACAGCGTTCACTCGACTTCACGAGGACGGAAGTTGTCGCGGTGTTCTCTTGTTCGGACTGCAACATGTCTTGGCTTGTCGGAGCACTTGGCACTTCCTTTGCTTCTCGGTGACCGAGTGTTGACGTGAGAATGGGCAAGAAGAAGCGGGGCATGCCGTAGAGTACGGACGGAGATCACCGCGCCGTGTTCACAGCCGTCAACTCGAACAATCCATTTTTTACATGCTGCGGCTGGAGATTTTATCGTGTTCATGGTGGCCGCGACGGCGATGTATGTGGATGCTGGAAGCCGGATGGTGTAGAAATCTGTATGATGTTGGGCCGCCATTGCACGTCTGCATCATGTCACGGCATGCAGGCAGATCTACACACATCGTGCACCGAACATGGAACTGGCAGGCATCCCCCTTGCCTCAACTCAATTCAAGGCGCGCTCACCAGCGCCTTCACCCCATGCGCATGGGGAGTGGCCAGGCAAATAACGGTGAACACATGCGCTCCTCATTGCGCTAGTATTGTTCCATGCAATGTCCTGTGGAGATGCCGCTGCCTTCATGAGCTCAAGTTGCCCGAAGTTGAAAATTTGTCAAAGAAGTTTTCACGTATCCGTACATCCGGATAGTATTTGGGTACGTCAGGATCCTTCGACATGGACAGCACGGACAATGTGCTGTTGACGGTGCGCGGGGCCAACGTGGCCGAGGGTCCGACCGGCTATGCCAACTTGCGAGATTCTCTTTGCTTGAGCACTACGACGGAGTTACATGCCCACCAGCAAGCAGCGGTGGCGTGGATGTTGCATAGAGAAACCAATTGCGACAAGGTCCTTCACGGCGGCATCCTTGCCGACGGCCCTGGGTTGGGGAAAACATTGACAATGCTCAGTGTCATTCAGCTCCACCGCTCTTCTCGCCCAACTCTCGTGGTCGTACCAAACCAGATCATCGCACAGCAATGGTAGCAAGCGAGGCACACGCGAATCGACAAGGTGACGAGGCATGCCTCCATAGGATGAAAGACATGGCGACGCATTTTGCACAAACCACTTGGTCGTCGAGCATCTTCAACGCAACCACCCCGATCAATGAGTCCCACCGCATTGTAATAATCCTCATGAAAGACCTGGCCAAAGAATGGTACGCATATGCAAGTCAGCAGCTCTTGACGAGGACGACAGGCACCGACGCCAGAGCGAGCTCAGCGAGCGAGGCCGAAGCGTGAGTACGCTGTACCACGTGTCCTGGAGTCGCATTTGCGTCGATGAAGTGCAAGAGATCTTGGGCAAGTCGTCGTTGGCGGCGCAGATGATGCAGCAGTTGAATGCACCGATTCGATGGGGATTGTCAGGGACCCCCGTGTCCAAAGTTGCCGACATTGCAGGTGGGCAGCCCTTCGGTTTGTTGCGTGGCAATATCGCTTTGCTATGAAGGTGTGGCCCAGTTCCTGCAGCTGGCACCGTACGACTCGAGCACATGGTGGCTCCAACATGACATCGCCGTCGCGCTGGAGCTCGTGCAGCCTATTCTTGATCAAATCGTATGGCGGACTTCGAGTCAGCACGTGAGCCGGAGCTTGCAGCTGCCGTCGCAGACCATCCTTCCCGTAAATTCGTATACATGCAGGTTGGACGTAATTGTTCGTTCTAGACGACGTTTGTGCAGCTGTCGGCGATTGAATTCGCCGCGTATCGACCGCACTTTGAGCGGTAACAGCAATTTTGTTCTCACGAAAACAAGATTTGTTGCTCAAACTTCAGCTGGATGTTGTGTTGCTCTGCCATAGGTATATCAAAGACATTCGACGACGGATTGCATCGTTTAAAGGCAATACCAGCCTGATCACGCTCCACGAGCTGCGACAACTCCTCCATCACCCCGCCGTCCTGAACTTGTGTAAAGGTGCATCCCACGTCTCCTTGTTGACCAAATGCACCACGTCCATCGACTCGAGCGCCGGCTTTATTGCCCACATGGCCACACGACAGCGTGAGCAGTGCAGTTTAGCTCTCAGCCAGTGGCTCGGAGTATGTCTGTCATGCCCAAAGCAGCTCGAAATCGCGTACAAAACATGGCAAGACCTCGCTACCGAGATCTCAGTTCCATGGCAGGTGCAGCTAAAGGTGTTGTCCGCATTGTCGGCGCTTCATCATGTGTCTCCTGTTCGATATCGCCACCAAATCCACCGCGCGATTCTCGACTCGCCATGCCAGCGCCGACTTCCTGTCACTTTGTGGCAACGGATATTTGTATATTTACACGAAGACTTTTCTGACCAACAACTACGCGTGTTAATCGCCCAGCAGCATCCCCTCCTGGCAGCATTTCAAGACAAGGCAACTGCGTTCTGGACCGCCCACGCCGCGCCATGGTCCCAGCACAACTTTCAGAGCCAAGTGGAGGCGTCATTCGACCTGGGTATCCATCATACAATTGATGTAGCAATGTAATGAATTCTGTTTGGCAGAGCGCCGAATTCAATTGCCAGCGATGGTGGCCATCCTGAACGATTTCACCAATATGCGTTTATCCGAGGCCAAGTCCCGAGTAGGCATTTTTGAGCGCCCGACGTTGTGGCATTACCTTCGGTACGTGTGAAAGCGCATCCAGTCTCCAACTAACGCTATGCTGTTTTCATCTAGAAACAAAACGACCGAGTCCATCGACGTGGGCGAGATACGAATGGTCACGATGGACTTGCTCGGCCAGTACATGGAGCAATTCAGCGCCAGTCTCAAGCTGCTACACGATGTCATGCATGCAGATTGGAGGAGGGAACTACAAATGGTCTTGAGGGGGTATGCTGATGTACGCACGACCACCCACGAGCAAATTTCATGCCGGTTCGAACAGATATCGCGACTGCAACCACGCGACCCGGCGGCTCGATCGAACCCTCGTCGTGGGTCGGGAGGAGCGATGGCAGCGTCGCGACCATGCACATGGTCAAGGACGCGGCCAGATCTCCCTTGGCTCACGATGTGTTGTGTGCACGCTGCGCAACCGCATCGACTTGGCGTTGTAAGGATGTTTTCGCGCTGCATTCTCGTTGCCATTCTGAAGTTCCTTGTAGGAGCTTCCTCGTCACCGAGGGCAAAACATTAACGCTGATGGTGATCTTTTTCACACTTGAGGCGCCCCCTGAGGTACCATGAGCCAACCAGGATCGAGACCAACGCTTGCGCCAGATGCTTGGCCTCTTTAACGACTGCATCGCACACCTTGAGCACATGGTATCGTTGGCAACACTGCTGGACAACTGGCTCCGAGTGAGCTGCGAGGCCCAGAATTGCATGGCATACGCTGGCGACGACCCGTCAGCAGCTGCATTCAAGCGCGTCAAAGTGGCACACGAAAAATTTCAACTGGCCAACTGCTACCGCCAGTACACGAGCACAATTGCTTCGTTGGACGAGACGGCATCGCCTGCGACGAATTGCTGCGATTTTTGTGGGACCGCCATGACTCGGTATGGTGTGCTCCCCCCGTCATATTCAGGACGTGCTCCGACCCATGGCTTAGATCGGCGACGTCGTTGCTGCTGTGCTGTCATCGCTTCTGCGCCGCGTGCATTGCAAAGGCAGCGTCCAACGAGATGGCGACGCATCGTTGCTTGGTCTGCTTTAAGTCCCAGCCGTTTGCTCTGGCCAAGGCCCCGCCACTGCCACCCAGTTTGCTCGCATGCGGATCAAAGATGGACGTCATCCTCCAGGACTTGACTGCGATTGCCCCGCACGAGAAATGCGTCGTATTTTCACAGTTTCCCGAAGTGCTCGAGTTGGTCATGACCGAGTTGACCAAGCGCCATGTCCGGAGTGTGCAGCTCCGCAGCGGCAATCAGATATCGTTGCGACATGCGTTCGAAACGGACACCGACGTTCGAGTGCTGCTCCTGCCGCTGAAAAAGTACAACCACGGGTTCGTACACAGTTATCTGCTGCCGCCACGTGGATGTGGACGTGCTGACTGGATGGTGCAGGCTCAACTTGGTGGAAGCGACCCACGTCTTTTTGATCGAGCCATCGTTGCAACCAGCGTTGCACGCCCAAGCCATAGCCCGCGTCAAGCGGTTGAATCAAACCAGACCGACCTTTGTCCACCGGTAGTGATATGAATCTCCAATGCGATGAATACGGAGCTCGTGAAGGATGTAGGTATGCCGTGCGAGACACTGTCGAGGAAGCGGTTGACGCGGCCGTGACCCATGACAACCACCGCCTGACCAAAGGGGACATTTACCGCATCTTTGCTCACGACGCGTTCCTCTCGACGTAGTGTTTATCCAAGATATGGAGGTTTGTTCAGTATGGCGTGGTCTTGGGCGGTATCCCGCCGTCGTTTCTCGAGTTGGGCTCGAAAGCATTGCTAGCTATACATTCTCCACACCCAGAAGACTCGAGCTTGGTCCGTGTTCAAATATGGATGGCTCTCGACGACGAACGTTCAACTTGGAACAGTTGTGACCGCGATCATCCGCGTTTACGACCAAGTGAAGTTCGGCAGACGACATTCATTTCTCCACCTTCCTTTCGGACGGAGCGCAGCGTGGTGGCACACTTTCACGACAGCTCCTAACGAAGGTGCGGCCAGCACACGTTTTCCGCCGATCGTGAGCCGCACAACACATTGTGTCGTCCATGAAAATGTACAATGTATTTTTCAAAATAGTTATTGAAAAATTCTCGATTTTGTGTAGATGGAATCAAGTCAATAAATAAATGGCAAACTTTTTTGCTCGTTGCAACGCCATGCATTCGGTCGGTGCTATAAATAGCGCCAACTTCCTGGAATTTAAATTCGCGGCCCCACAATAAATCCGCAGGTTCGTCGTGAACATGAGCAGCAGCGGCAAGAAAGCCCGTGGTGGCAACAAGAAGCGCGGTGGCGGCGGCCGCAACGACGCCTACGATTCCGAAGATGGAAGCTGCAATGAATCGGTCGCGTCGAACGATACATGCGACAGCGCGAGAAGTACGAGAAGTCGCGTCTCGGAAGATACAACGCAAGAGGACCTCATGGAGCGGTACCTTGAAGAATTGACGGAAAAAAGGCACGTGCACAACTACACGATGAACCTCTACCATCATGACGAACATTCATCTAATGGGATGACGCACAGAGCAACGACTCGTCTCGCAGCCCTGCAAGGTTTGCTCAACCTGTTGGTCCACTTCATTCCCCCAGAGCTTTTCCACGAAAAGTATGCTTGCACTCGCCTGTGCTTGCACTCACATTCATTGCTAGATTCGATGAAATGTACAACAACCTGCTTCAAATTTCACGTCGCCCGTCGGAAGATGAGGGACGCATTGTCCCCCGAATTTTCGGCATCATGGGGCTCATGCTGGGTCCCCATTCCCACGACTACTTTGCCAAGGTGGAATCGGTTCTGGAGCCGCTCGTGAAATCTGCTGCTCAAAGTGATATCGTTCGCGCTCAGGTATGTCGGTTATCCATGCTCTGTCGGCGCCACAACGTTTGTTCATGGCGGTGGTGCAGGCGCTCGAAGGGTTGGGAGTCGTCTGTTTCACAAGCAGTACTGGGGATGAAGAGAACGCGCAAAATATCATGGGCTTGTGCGATCCATTCTTTACCAACTCGACGACGCCAGTGCTGACGACTCTGGCGTTGGAAACATGGGGCTGCCTCGCGTCGACGCTTGATTCTGCGCTGCTTATCGAGGAAGCATTTCTTGACACGTACGGCATGTTACTATTACTTGAGCAGTGTGAATATGGACCGTTTTTGCGAACACTGCAGGCACTTGGCCTTATTCTCGGACCTGACCAACAACGTGGACTTGGACGTGCGGACGGCCGCGGGGGAAAACCTCGCGCTGCTCTTTGAAGCGATGCACCAAAACCACATCGACAATTACGAAGGTGCTGGCGACATTGCGTCCAAGATGCTCGAGCTGAGCAAAGAAAGCAGCAAGAAATTTTCCAAGAAGGACCGCAAGGAACAGCATTCCGTCTTTCGCGACGTGTACAAGACTGTGGCGGTACGTCGACCGCGTCATTTCGTGTGTGCTTCGAGCAATTTTGCTATTGTTGTCTCGAGATGGAATAATGTCCCATACTCGTCGAGCGCATAAGCAGTGTGAAACTTCTGAGCGAGTAGGACCAAGAACCTCCAAACGTGTCGTTCAGCCTCGAAAATGAAACCTTGCGGTTCCATGACTGGGGCTCGATCATGCAGTATAACGCGATCAAGGAGTGCTTGCAATCGGGTATGCTAGAACATCTCAAGTTTAACAACCACGTGCGCCAGCTCTTCGACTTGCCTCACACGGCAGAAGTCTTTTCCCGCGTTGAAAAGGTGCGTGAACGACACCGCGTTCGATGGGCTTTGACGTTGCATAGAGAGCAACCAAGTCGAAAACGAGCGGCAGTCGCAAGCAGCAAAGCGAGTTCCTTAAGGACGAACGGAAGCGCCGCCAAGGAGAAAAAAATCATTTCTTGGATGGCGGCGATTATTAGTATGCCATGACAATTCATGACGTTGGTGGAAGACGCGCCATAGTCACGCGGTCGTGGGTTTCGATTGTATAGCAGAGATTTGCGTCGTGAAAGAGCGCGGGGGGGATCTTTGTCGGAGCCATTCTTGTGATATTGAGACGAGACTGAACTCTTGCAGGCTTGAGTTGAATCGCTCGTATTCGCCTCGCAAACATGACAGTGGCAAGCAAGAGGAGAATTGCCAGGGCGCCATAATGTAAACGTTGATTCACTGTCATGCGCCATCGAAGCGCGATGTTGTCGACAAGCAATTGAATCTTGCTTGCATCGCCTGGATCATCAGCAATTGCGGTTAACGGCTGCGGCGCTGCTGGACTTGTGACGTAGATGCGTATGGAGCATTCCCATGCCGACGCCTCTTGTATTCCTGGGCGGAAATGGCATGTGGTGGTCTGGCCTCCTTCAACATTGAGACGAATGGATGTTGCGTGGTGGGTTGTCAGGTGGTGAAACCACCCGTCGTTATCGGCGATGACATAGACTGCGTCAAGGGACCCTCTACCATCGACCATGGCAGTGAGCTCCACAACCACATCAGGGACTCTTCGTCCTTGCTGATCTTGCACGTGCCCATACACTAGGAGGTGCGTCCTTCCGTCCATCATCCTCATGATCTTGGAAAATCTCAATTGTCCATCCGTAGCAATTATTTATAGTAATACTAACAAGTGTGGTTTTTCCTAACGTACGCAATGTATCAAGCAATACCGACCATCTTCCACTTGTGTATTCCTAGTAGCCTTGTCTAGTAATACTTCAAAATGTGGCGCGATCTGATTGGCTCATTTGAATTTCCCACCTTTTCCTAGTTCGAGGACTTTGGCTCCGATTGCCGCCTGCGATCACGAGGCTCTCGGAACAAGATGTGCCAGCGCCTGCGTCGAGAGGACGGACATGCTGTGCCGAAGCTATCGACTATATATTCGTTCTTTTGGACGCATCCCCTTACATCCCATGCGTTACCTTGCATGCTCCTCGACCCACGGGGGAAATGCTCGTCATTCCTGGAGCCACGATTGCGCAGCAGTGTGGACGTTGTCTACATTGGGGATGCTCAACCTTTGGGAAACGGATCCCATGAATGCAGCACACGACCAAAAGCCGACATTGTGACGGCACTGCAGTATATTTGTAGCCACGGCCAGCGTGGTAAGATCATTGTTTCCTATATATGAACGACACGCTCAACTGGACAGCGCAGGGCTCGCGTCACATTCTATAACGTGAACGTGGTGGTGCTCGCTCGGTTCAGTCGGAGATTCAGCTGCTTCTTCTTTAGGAACTGGAGCACCTCCGCCAGTGTTTGGGCTTCTTCTTGGTCTGGCGCTGCCGTCTCCAAACACCGGATGACCGTTCGGAACGCGTCGAGGTGTTCTTGCAGAGTCGGGAGGGTGTCAGGGCCGCCGTGCCCCCCGACATGGCCACCGACGCCGTCTTCGCCAGTCACGTCCGCGACCGTCTGGGACACACTGAGCGCATTGTCCAGCGCCTTGAACTCGTCCATGGCTTCCCGTGGCTCGTCAAAGAACTCTTCGTTCAATTGCTTGTGCACGTCGTTCTCGCCGCGCGAGTTGAGCAACTCCTTGATGTTGATGACGCCGCCCAGTTGGAGGCAGTACAGCATGCTCCACAGGTCGTCCTCGGTGGACTTTTCCAAGACTTCCACATTAGTCACGGGCTCGCCGTGGTAAGCCGCGACAAAGTTCGCCTTGCGCCAGCAGTTGACCACGACCTCCTTGGGCACTTCTCGCCACGCTTCTGAGATCCACTGCATCGCCTGGAGCTGCTTGACACTGTATATATCAGCCAATCCTTCTTCGTTGCGATCGATAGCGTGCGCGAGGTGCTTCATGCGGTAGCGGCACTTGAATGCCGTCGTGATACCACAGTGCATCGGTTGCGCCTTGAGCCCCATCGTTGGCGGGTACACAATCAGCCGGACGTTCGAGAGCTCGAGACCAGCGACAATATGCGACGGCGCGTTGTCGATCAAGAGCAAGATCGACCGCTGCGCAAACTGCATGCGCGCGTTCAAGTCCCGCAACCAGTTTTGAAAGATAAACACTGTCATCTTGGACTTGGCATTGTGCACGTAGTTGAACCCGAGCTTCTCGGCGCTCTGAGACCGCCAGTCCTTCGGCGGGTACACATCACCGATGATGAAGGGCTCAAGCATCTCGCTCGAATCGGCGTTGCACGTCAGCGCGATCGTGAGCTTCGATTCTTGCGCAAAGTGGACGTCAAGGTTGTCGTGGTCCGCGAATGCATGCGGGGAGATGCGGAAGAACAATCCCGTCTCATCCATCGTAAAGATGTCCTTCAATGCGTAATGCTGCGTCAGCTCCTTGATATGCACACTCGTCAACTCGTCGGGGAGCTTGAAGTCCATGACTGGCGCGATCAAGGCGGCTGCGCCGGTCGGGTCAATCAAGTTCATGGCGTTTGCCATGGGGTTGTTGCTGTTGGGGCTAGTCTTGGGCATGCCCAACTTTTTGAACCCGTGGCGTTGTTTGAATGAGCTCAGCCAGCCGTTCGAAAACGCGAGTTTTCCTTCCAGACCCATTTGCGCACTCAACTCGCGTCCCTTCTCTTTGATCGCGTCGCCAGTCAAGTTTTGTTTGTTGTGTCGTTCGAGCACCCAGTTCGCAAGCGCTTGATCAAAATGGTTAAATTTGGTGGGGCGGATTGTCTTGCGCGAGAGGTCGAACGCGGCACCACCGACGCTTTCTCGGAACAGGTGTTCGTGTTTGAGGATGTTACTCATCGTGGGCTGGGTCGGGGCCTTGGACAACTGGAACTCGAGCATCGCCCAGCGGCACAGGTCCTTTTGCGTGATTTTCGGCGTGCTGCGATGTTTTTCGCAGATGCGTCGCTTCTGTTCGACCGTCAGGTTACCTTTCCCGACGCCGTCCGCAGCGCGCCCCCTGCGCGCCTTAACTTTGGCGGTCTCCGGTGTACTTGGCATGACGGGTGTTCGTGGGTAGCGATCGATAGAGGTGTCCGTGGTGTGGCAGGCACTGTCGTCGTCGTCAACGGGAGCACGTTGATTGCCCTCGACTCCTTTTCAGTTTTGTCAAAAACAATAACCCCCTACTTCATCTATTCCTTGTGTTTGCATGGAGTCTCGACCTTTGAATTTTAGCCAATCAAAGTAAAACCAATTCGATATTTTTCAAATTCTAGCCAATCAAACGAGATATAACCCCCAGCCGTTGCGACGTGCCCCTATCTGAATTTATACCTGCGTTTTCTGTATATTTTTTTTCCCATTGAAAAAAGGTCGCACTTGCACCCCTGTCACACATGACACCGGGAGCGACACAGACGACGGCACCGGCGGTGTGGGTGCGATGTCGATCCAAGGAAGGGATGGGTGGGTACTCTACTTTACATACGACGCGCTGCTGGCTTCGCTCTCCTTCTCCAGAGGTGCCGACGTAGAGTCCCCGTTGGAAGCCGACGAGCCGTCGATTTGCTGGAAGTCAGCCGACGAAGACCCACCAACAACCCCACCAAATGCTTCCGTGCACACATACGCGGCAGCATATACTCCTTGCATGAGTAAAATCCCCACAACTCGCATGAATACCACGCACGAGCAAAAGAGCGCAGCATACACGGCCCACACGTCGAGCATCACGACTTTGTGCCACGGCAGTTTGAGGTCCACAGTCGTCAAGTGGTGGGTCCCGTGCTGAAGGGTGGATTCCAAGATTTCTGTGACTCGTTTGATGCCACCGGCGCTCCGCAGAGCTGCGCCGACTCGGACGGCATTCTGTGCGAAGGATGCATTGCGGAGGAGGGTGAGGACCTTCTGCCGCACTTCTTCTGCTGTGAAGTGCGTCTTGTCCAAAACAAGTCCGGCGCCAGCGTCGACCACGCGGGCGGCCACATCCGGCTGGTCTACGAGAAAAGGCAGACACAGGATGGGCTTGCCAAACACGAGGGATTCTTGTGCCGACACCATGCCGCAGTGTGATATGACTAGCCATCGAGTGGATATTGTAATGTGGCTTTCCAGTCGCCGTCGTACCTAGCTTCACGGAAGGATGGGCTATGACGCGCAGGTGCGGAAACGCGGAGCTCATGACCTTGATTCGAAAGGTTGGGGGAAGCGCCTGCGGCAGCACGCCACGCTGGTCGTTCGGAAGAGTCCATAGAACTCTGTACGCGGGGTCTTTTGGGTTGGACAGCCCTTCGACAATGGCTTGGGCTTGCCACGCATCAATGTACGAGAGCGACCCAAAGCACATGTAGATGACTCCATGGAGGCCATCATCTCCCACCATCCATTGCGTGACGAGGTGGGGAAGTGCTGCGTCCGCAGCCGATTCATTGAACGCGTCCAGAGGAAGGATTGGACCGACCAACTCAACAAGAGGGGAGAGTGGACGAGGATATTCGAGACCGACCGCCGTGTTGACGAGAATCCGCGCGCCCTTGAAGATGTCGTGTTGAGAGCGATACGGCGTCAATTGCAGCTCCCATCGCGCTTTATTGATCTATGGCCGAGGCTGCAAGTGAGGCAACGCGGATGTAAAAAAGTGTTGGGGTACCTGCATGAACGGTGGAGTGAGCGCGACGGACAAAAGGCGCGGAAAAAGCAAGTTCATGCATCGGTTCCACAGACTCATGTGGATCGAAAAGCCCGTACCCCACGCTGGCACGTACGATGGCGTCCCGCCAATGTCGAACAAAATAGACGGCGAGTTGACGACATATGGCAGGCCGAGTTTGTGGACGAGATCATGGCCGCCGATGGTGGCGATGTCAACCACGACAAGATGCGGCCGGTCCAATGACACGACTGGATAGAGCGCGTCGAACATGGGTTGCGCGGTTGGGATGTAAATGTCGTTGAAGATATTGAGGATGCCTCGAAAATTGGACGCATCGCGCGTGATCGCTTGCAGTTTGTCCCGAAGTTCATCGGCCGAGATAGGGAATTCGCCGGCAGACACGAACCGTGCCCCGGAGCGTTGCACCCACTCCTTGCCAGAATCGTGCGTGGCAAAGCTCACGTTGCATCCTTTCCGCACCAAATCTTGTGCTATTCGAAGCAGCGGCGTCGCATGTCCTCGAATTCCCACCGAGATAAAAAGGATGTGTTTGTCGCGGATGTCGAACGACGGGTCAAATGGCGGAGAGACGTCCACGTCCCCGCCCGTGAGATCGTACTTCACACCTTCGAATGGATTCCTGGAGAGCCAAGAGCATGTGCATGGGGCGACCAGCGCGAAAAGGCACAGGAGAAGCATCACGGATCGAACCGGCCGTGGCCGGACGACTTGCGGCATTATGTCAGGTCCAGGGTTGTTGGCGTGAGTGGTCTGATACGTATCCGGCCAAGATTATGCACCTACTAAACGAACGTGGGTTTTCTTCTAGTACTACTACATATATACGTACGTTGAAACCGACCTGATTTTGAAAATAATTACATGAGCCTGCTCTGAATGGCGGCATTGCAAACAACTTCCGACCAACTTGGCAATGAGCCCTTGACTCGGCGACACAGCTCCACGAATGTGATGGACATACTCAAAGGCAGACCGCATAACGCTGCGAATGAAGGCGCACGCACGCATCCGTTGGGGCTGAACGTTCAATATGAAATATGGATTGCAGTTCGATGATGTAGGTATACTTGACATTCCGAGGAATGGCCACGGGGACGGCTTTGTGTTGCGTTGACCGCGGCGTCTGGACTGGACAAGAAGTGGCTGGAATCGTAGCGACAACCATCGTAACGGCACGAGCGTGGGAGTGGTGGCAGTTTGAACGTCGGGACCATCGATAACCACACCTCCGCCGGAGCATCATGCGCACAATGTATACACCAGCGATCGTGATGCCAACTGCGGTCCAAAACATTGGAGAGCGACGCTGCCTTCTTCGCAAATTGCAAACGATCCGTCCGCGACAGAGCAACCTTTCACAATCACACATCGGACCATCGCTCTACATGTACTAGCACTCGGCAGCTGAATCTTGACAGTGTCACAACGGACTGCGCTCCACACCTCCTCGCAACGACCCTTCGATGGCATCGGCTTCATTCGTGTCAGGGAGTCAGCTCCTAAATTGTGTGTATAGGGTATGTTTCGACCAGGAAGAACACCGTCGGTGTGGGAATGTCCTGTGATCGATCGGCTGCGTATTCAGTGGACAATAGAGTATTATTGTCGCACTGGCACAACCATGAGCTAACGCTATCGACCATGAATCCGCGCTGCCTGTCACTCCTCGGCAAGGCGATTCTCTCCAAGGAAAACGGTGCTGCCTGTGGAGGTCGTCGTCAGGGCCGATCTTGGCTGCATGATCATGCCTACTGTCGACAAGACAAACGCTCTGACATAGTCACCAACACTCAGAAGCGAATGATTACAACAGGAGCAATCCAAAATGAATAAAAACAGGGGCGGCACACATATTCAAAATTCTCCAGTCTATGATTTGCGACTTGATCTGGAGCGCGGTGGGTGCTGCAGTCGTCGCTGTCGGCGCTATCGTGGCCACCGTGGTGGGCTTTGCACTGTGGGTGGTTGGGGCGTGCGCCGCGTTTGCCTATGCAATCGTACACTTCGTTTTGTGCTGCACTCTCCCGACACGTCGACTTAACGACGTCCCCGAAATGGTGATCGTGACCCCCCTTGCCGTGCCTACCTCCTCGAACCCGTACCAAGTGGATGCAGTCAGTCCCCAAGTGGTGTACGGCGCGCCACCGATGCAATCGAAAGTGATCGCCGTTTGACCAAGCGAATGAGCAATACGCCAGTATACATCCTGTCTTCATGATTGTACGTGCAATTCTGCACTCATTAGCATACCTGCACTTGTAGGACCATACACAGGTTGGAATCTTGGAGAGCTTAGCCATGCAATACAAAAAAATTCGCGTCCCTCGTTCGACACGACCTGGACGCGTCGGGAGCATCTCCAAGTGGGCGAGCCCGCGTGAGAAGCATTGTCCCTCCACTTCGATCGCCACCTTGACCATAGTGCAAGGGAGTACCGTCATGACCGCCTCGTCGGTCATCGAATCTTCGATTAATGTCACAAATGCCACCACGTCCTCGACCATCGCTTTCGTGGCCATCCCCACAATTTTGAATCGACGAAGTGAGGAGCGTGACAGAGTGAATTACCGTCGTCGTCGAGGAGATCGACTTTGACAACGGCGTCTGCTTATGGTGTGATTCACGGAGTCCAAAATGCGTTTGTGGCGTTCCATGCTAACGAGAAGCAAACGGTGGCACACCATGTCCACAATGCACTGCGAATCATGGCTCCATGGGACGCATCGTGCATGACACGTCCAAAACCGCCCGGACGATGCGCCCGCGACGAGTGTAGAGAACTCGAGTGACTTTGCGAATGGTATGAATCATGGACGGAATGAAAGATAACGTTAAACAGTTCCATGTGCAGGTGGATGGAATAACGATGGGGAAAAGCTAGACTAGCTTCCCCGTCGCGAGTGGAATCCCCTTGGCATCGTGGGCGTCGGGGACGACCTCGACCACGACGACAGGGGTCATGGCAACGCCGTAGGGAGATTCGTTGATTTCTCCCTCCTGTTGTTGCAATCGGCACCGTCGATGACGACACCATCGGCGGCAACCTTTCTTGATGACGAAGACCAGCGCGACAACAAACAGGACTCCCAAAATCGCGTTCAAGCCCGAGCCCATCTCTGTCAGATGCGACGCGGTGTGGGCTGGAGCATTGTGCAGCGCCATTCGAGTGACCGGGTTGGACGCGGCCACTTCGATCGCCCCAGATACGCGGGCAGGGGATCGACCCACCACGGCGATGCTGCCCGAACCAGATTTGTCCACGCTGATCGACTCGACCGAGCTCAAGTACATGCTGCCGCTCCCAGACAATGTCGCGTTCGTCGACTGGCACACGACCGCCCCAGCTTGAATGGTGCCAGAGCCACTCACTTTGGCGTCGTGCTGGCCACACGATCCCACGTCGGCCAGCGTGACGCGCCCCGATCCGGAAATGGACGTCGTCAACGTTGATGTCGCATGGAGCGACTTGGTGGCGAGGATGTAGATGTCGCCGGATCCAGACACGTCGGCACGCACCGTCGGGCCGTCGATCGTCGTCGCTGCCACCACGACCTCGCCTGACCCCGAGATGCTCGCGCCCAAAGCCGACGACACAGACGGCACGTCCACTTGGATGCGACCGGACCCCGACACGTCCAGATTGAGTCGGTCCAAGGACATCGGCGAGTCTTGAATAAACACGTTTCCGGACCCCGTCAGCTTGACGTCCACCGACTTGGTGCCCAACACGCGGGGATGCACTACGACATGGCCGCACCCGTCAAACACAACGAGCTGCAGAACGCTGGACGGGACGTAGATGTCGATGAGGTAGTCGCCGGACCAGAACCAAAACGTGTTGGCCCAAGTTTGCTGGAGGTCCACCTCGAGGGCCTTGATACCAGCGGACGTGGTCACTGAAGTGAACACGATCCCGTCCACGATTCGCTGGGACTCGGACCGGACGACGGCCGAGATCACGTCGACGCCGGCGGGTGCTTCGTAGATGAAAGCGGATTTGCCCAGGACGAGGCCTCGAATGTCCGACGCCGAAGCGTTGAACGTCTTGGACGGCCAGGAATCGGTGGCAGACATGTTGAATGCAGTCGATTTTCCAAAGTGAGACCGTCGCGACGTCGACAAGCGCTGTCACACTGCCGGTGCTACCGCGTGACAAGGTCGCCGTCGCGTGGACATGGAGTGTTGGTGTGTGACTTATCGCTGCTGCACATGACCAGCAATCTTTAGCACAGTGGCGCAACGAGCAAGTCGTTCCATCATTTGTACTGCTCTAGGCGGATGCGCACTAAAGTGTCGGAGGGAGCGGTGCTAGCAGGTCAGAGATGCCCCTACCACTGGCGCGCTGTCCCGACGTTTTTGTGCATCTCGGGGGAAGGACTATGCGCAGGGAGTTGGATATCGACTGGCGAACTCCCTCCCCAATCAACAACGCGATTTTGAACAGCTCGGATGTACCATGGCCTCTTTGCTCGTGTGTAGATGGAACCACTTGCACGAAAAGTGGACAGAGATTGTTGTATAGGCTGCGCCCCTGGTCACTCCGCGCTTACTCTCCATGACGTTGAGGGAGCAGCTTCCACCTCTTGGGGGATTGTCGGCGTCGACGTGGCGCGGCCCCCGAGGCGACAGGCATGACGAGGGGAGTCCCCACCACCACATATGTGATATCGATACCATCGTCAAAGTTTCGGTCGAGTGCAGCATGCGACGAAGCTTACGATGGCTTTGGCAAACGAGTCGCACGCCGCAATCACCCACAGTGGACACGACACGTACATGTCCCCAACAAAGCGCAATGCATTCGTCCGAGAACGTGCCGCCAGTGTTCCAGAGTGTACTTTGACGTTCCGATTGGAGCAGACGAGTTGTCACCATGGCCACAAGTCAACAGCATTTGACATCAGTGTAGGTGGGTAGTTAGTGGCGGCAGCGCAAGTCCCACGAGTTGCAACCACACGGTTGGAGGTGGTTCACCCTCGTGTTGGAAAGAGTCTGTCCGAGGCCACTAGATCTCGCCGGGATGCATGCCCACGCGGAAGGAACGTGTCGTGGCTTTTTCGAGTTCCATTGGCACTTCATCTACCGATGAACGCTTTCACCGTACTCTTCGATCACGCATGTACGCAAGGGATGGATCTTGCACCAGCACGTACCAAAACCGTGACGTAGTAGTTGCAGGCGTCCTGGGTGTCGTAGTTGCCGAGGCGCTAGTTCGCGTCCTGGTAATTGCAACGGCGGCACGCGGAGCAGCCAGGACGAGGCGTGGGCTTGTGGGTTGTCCAGGATGCTTTCGTTCGAGGAACACACCAGCTCCGAGTCAAGTTGATCAAACTTCGTTGGCATGTCTTTCGGACTCGGTCCATCCTCATTCCGCGCGCTCTCGGTCGTTGCATTGAACATCGGCGCCCTCCTTGGAGGCATCGGTGGAAGATCACAGAGATGGATCGTCCTACATGATCTCAACTCGTGGGGCAAACTGGACCTCATTCGCCTGCAATGCGGCGTCGGTGGCTGAGGCACGAGCAACGCCGTCGTTCCCCAAGAATAGGGGTGCCACGCCGACCGATTCTCCGTCGCCGGGCCAATGCCCAAGCCATCAACGGCCCACAAGCCGACGCCTCGTCCTGACTGCTGTGCGTCCCGCCGTTTCTGCTACTAGATGCGAAAACTTCCTTCAGCAACGACTACACCCAGGACGGCTGCAAGTACCACGACTATGCCACGGTTTGGTGCGGTAAATATACGATATCTAGCCTGTGCTGGTGGAAGATGTATCCCTTGGGTCATTATTTGATCGAAGAGTACAGTGACAGTGCGTATTCATCGGTAGGTCAAGCGCCACCGGTATTGCAAGCTTCGCACTGCATACCCGACTTGATCTACTGTCATATTTGAAGCTCCAGGTCGCTCGGACAAGCTCAAGGTGAAGTCGACACAACGAATGCAATCGATGTCTCCCATCAGCAATTTCCATTCGGATTGTGTGGCTGTCCGCGAGGCTGTTGTCGTCGCATGGCTTGGGCTACCACAGGATGGAACGCGCTATCGCCGCCAATTGTTAGCGGGCCATGAGCCATCCCGTGCGCGCACCGCAGTCGTCCTGCCATGCGAAAGATGCGTTGTCCGATAACGTGGTTTCCCGTCAGCTTCGCACGTCTGGCGCCAACAGACGCGATCTTTGTCCCCATGCTGCACTTTATCGGATGAACCACGGCGAACTTAGTCGAGCGCAGGTCGAGCTCAAAATCCACATCGGACCATCGCCATCATCATGGACAAGCAGACCGTGCCGACGTTCCTCAAGCCGGCCGTATGGTCGTCGCGATATGGTGCGCCATGGAACCGCATGCTCTGGTTCGTCCTGACTTGCACCATAGGAGCCAACTTTTACACGCTGGCAATCACGGGATATGTTGTCCAAGACGCCACGTTTGCCGAGTACACCATCCAGGTCAAGTGCGGGTCGGACACGTGGGTCGTGAACAGACGATTCCGCGAGTTTGTCGATCTCTGGAATGAGTACGAAGCAGCATCGCTCGCAGCTACGGTGTGACCTCACTCGACGGCCTCACCGCCTCCTACGTAGACTATACAGCTTGGGCTCTCGCCTGCCGACGCTGGTACGAACAGGCACGAGCCATCTCGTTGTTCGATAACAACCCTTCTTGAATGTAGCCGCCCAAGTCGTTCCTGTGTTTCCGCGACTTGAGTGAGGACTACCTCTCCGAGCGTCGACGGGTGCTGGAAGAATGCCTGTGGGATCTGTTGCAGCTCTCGAGCATGGGCGAAATCGACGCGATCAAAGAGTTTCTCGACCTCGTCAAGGACGCGAGATATTAGTCGGATATGTTGTGTCACTACTTTTTCCCCTTTTTCTTCTTCTTCTTCGAGCTCTTCTTACTCGCATCTGGGCTGGCGGCGGGGACAGTATCGGGGCTGGCGGCAGGGACTGCTTCGTCACTGAGCGCGTCTGCAGTGGTGTCGGGAGCTGGGGTCGCCGCGTCCAACTCGACGTACCCGTCGCTCGTGACGCTCGTCTGTAGAGCCTCGTTCGTGTCGTCATCGTCGGTGGTCGGAGCAGCGACGATCTGAGCGCTCGGCTCTTGGAATTCGTCGACAGCCGATGGCTCAACAGGTTTGGCTTCATCCACGTTAGCCGCATCCACGTCGTCGACGGGCTGCGGGGCTGGGGGCAAACTGCCCTTGCGAGCAATCTTCTTGGGCGATGCAGGAGGAATAGAGATAGTCAGGGGGGCTTTTGATGACGAAGCTGGAGTTGGCGACGACACAGGGGTCGTGGCCTTCGGTGAGGACACAGGAGTGGCAGCCTTGGGCGACGAAACGGGGGTTGCGGCCTTCGGTGACGAAACGGGAGTCGCCGGCGCCTTGGGAGATGGCACTGGAGTCGGGATCTTCGCAGCTTTAGGCGACGGGACTGGCGATGATGCCTTGTGTGCAATGTATGCAGCTTCAATGACACTGACAGCTTCGGCCTGGGCGTCGTCTGGTTGAGTGACACTTCCATTGCGGTTAGTAGTCCTTGGCGAAGAGGCAGGGGTAATTTTCTTGGGCGATGGAGCCGGCGATGTTTTCTTGGGCGAAGCTGCAGGCGAGCTCGACTTCTTGTGCGCAATGTAAGCAGCTTCGATCACACCAACTGCCTCCGCTTGAGCTTCGGCGGCACTGGTTTTGCGAATTGACTGGGTGGGCGAGGCTACTGGTGTGGCAGGCTTGGCGTGAGCGACTGGGGAGGGTTGTTTTGGCGACGGCGGAGTTGGCGATGCCTTGTGTGCAATGTACGCAGACTCGATGGCCACCGCTGCTTGTTTTGGCGACGGTGGAGGCGATGCTGTCTTCGCTTTCGGCGACGGAGATTTTGGCTTTGGCGACGGTGGAGGCGAGGCAGGCTTCGTCTGTGAGGCACTTGGCAAGGATCTCGATTTTGTGGATGTGGCGGGCGAACGGTTGACGTCGTCGTTGGTGGACTTGGACGTTTGGTCCAAGAACTTGAGAGCAAGGAACCCCGCGAGTCCGACAATACCAGCGGCGGCTATGACCAGCGCAGTGGACGCTGGCCCAGTCCGCTTGCTTGCCATGGCTCGAATGAGACTGCTGGGCGACGACAGCTGGAACGATTTCTGTGGTTGTTATTTTCGGCAACGTTTGGTTCCGAAGTTAATGCAAATTGGTGTGACTTCGCAAGTATACATTCATCAAGTATATATTCGCTGCAGATTCGATGACGACGAGCGAAAATGCACATAATTTTATTCAAATGGTGCAAAACTTGGTTTCATAGAGATGCGAATGATAATAATTTTGACATGTCATGTTCCACATGGTCGTCATCGATGAAGATTTGCCCAGTTGGGCCGGCAGTCGTCGGGATGGTCGCCGAGTGCGTCATCGCTGAAGAGATCGCTTGTATGCCTCTTGCTCTTCCCGCCACTCTCGCTCTCGCTGCTCCTTCATGCGCCGCTTCTGCTCTTCACGTTCCACCGCGAAGTCTCTCTCTCGCTTCGCAGCGTCTGTGAGAATCGGCGTGTCGTCAAAGGCGTTCTTCGAAACGCGACACTCAATAGACCCCACGTCTGCCGCGCTGTTCTCCGAAGGCCTCGACATGCGGGGATCATTGGGTCTTGTTATCTTGTCGGGAGAATTGGATGGGCCAAGTATCGGCATTGCTTCAGGAATGGTCAGATCACAGTCAAGAGACTCCGTAGGCAGAGATGGCCGCCGGCGATCTCCGCCTCGACCGTCTGCTCCGTTTTCAGATGGCGCTGCCTGTTTGTTCATCGCGATGGTTGGTACGTGAGGATCCGAGAGTTTCATCTTTGGTGGCGTCAAGCTCGGCAATTTCTCCGAGCTATCGCCGCGGGAAGTCTTGGGAGGAGTTGGATGCTTTCCATGGCGTTGATGGTGGTTGTCCAACTTCTCATCACTCGTGCTTCGCGACGTAGTTGCTGCAGAGTGTTTGGCAGCGCGCGGCAAGCAGTCCTGTGCGACCTTCCCGACGTCACTGGCTGGTGGTCTCGGGGATTTGGTCTGCACTGGGCCAGTTCCAGGCCCGTGGTGGACTCGGGCTGCATGCGGCAGCTGCAGGGGCGTCGATTGGTTGTCTGGATGTGCGAAAGCTGTCTTGCACACTCGTGGTGGTATATTGTCATGTTTCGGTCCATTCGCATGTCCTGCCTCTTTCACGTCACTGCCATCATCGATGTCATCGTCTGGTGCATCAAAGTCCAACGTGAGAGTCTTGCGGTGGTGCTGTGCATAGTTTGAGGAACTGGTGGTGGTGGACGGTGCTGCCGTGCTGGCGCGGGCATGGGTGGTGTGGGTAGACGATCGACGGGAAGGCGGGGCGACGTGGCGCTGCCGGATGAATGGATGGCGGAGAAGTTGGTCCGCACTCCATCGGTCGTCCGGTGGAATTTGCAAACACGCCAGGACAAACGACTTGGACAAGTCGGTCAGACACGGTGGAAGCGGCGGGGGACTCGTCAGGTTGGCAATGTGGTAAAACAGCGCCACTTGGGTTTGGAACTTGAGGTCTTTCCACAGGGGGACTCCCGTCAGCATCTTGAGCAAGGTGCACCCGAGACTCCAAATGTCTGCCTTGGTATCGTGCGCTTGTTGCTTGATCACTTCGGGCGCCATGTAGTATGGCGTTCCTCGCATCGATTTGGACTTGGCGATAGAGCTCGCGCTCAAGAGCCGCGACGCCCCGAAGTCGGCGAGCTTGACTGCCCCGTGTTGGTCGATCAGAATGTTCGATGGCTACGCAGACAGTGCCATGATAACGAACGGTCGGCCGAGCCGCACCTTGATGTCGTAGTGGATGACGTGGCGGGAATGGAGGTACTGCACGCCTAAGAGCACTTGGGACATGTAGTTTTGCGCCACCGATTCCGAGCATCCAAACGTCTTGGTGTTATCTTCCAAGCTGCCCCCCGGCACCCACTCCTACCATGTCCAAAAGGAGAGCGGTGGTCAGGCGCAGCCCACGGCCATGGGGGGCAATCGGCCCCACCGTAAAGATGTACAGCGTGCTCGTCGCCGCATGAAACTCGCTCCCAATGTACGTGACGATGTGTGGGTGGTTTAGACTTCGCAGCACCGCGACTTCTTGTTGAATGGCTGCGATCTCGTCCGTCGTTTCTTCCGCATAGGAGATTTCCTTGACCGCCATCAAGTCGCCCGTCGTCTCGTTACGCGCCAGGTACACCTACTTCCTCACGTGAAATGGTCGACTGCGCCCTGTCGACGCTGGACATACCGAGCCAAAGCTGCCCGAGCCGAGCAGCTCCCCCTTCTTCCACACAAACGGCGGCGACCCCGCGTCTAGAAACGTGGTTACATTGCCAGTTGCCAGTCCATTGACAAGCGCACCGTGGACAGAGTCCGTGTCTTCCCGGGATATATCCGCTTCGGAGCCCCTTTCGTTTTCATCGTGGACTGCCACGCCCCCTCGATCGTGGAGCCCTTTCATCGACGAGAACTCGACCTGCTCTTCCATGGGGGGAATTGTTGGGAAACTCGGATTCGTTGGCCGTTGCGAATGGCGGCGCGCTTGGTATTTCGGCGACGACGCTGCCTTGGGGCTCGTGGATGGAAGGGGCGTAACGACGGTCAGTGCTGCCGTCGACGTGTCTTGCTCCAGCGCTAGCGATGCTGGTTTACTCGCGCCACCTCCCATTCACGGTGCCATTCAATCGGAAGCCACACGCGTCCCTCTTCATCCGATGGGTAAATTTAGTTTCGAAACGTCAGCTCCGAACCATCGACATCGATTCGACGACGCCTCGCGTTCTGGCCTGGTTCTATCGCCTTGGGCTGACCCCATGGAATCATCGAGGGGCCAGAACCCCGGCCAATGCCCCCCCTCCAACCACAATCCCCATCCTTGGTCGTCTATACCTCGCCAGAAGTCCCGAATGCCATCCATTGTCGTGATGATATCCTCGTCGTTTCACACTCGGGTGCGCGAGCGGGTGCGCCTATGCGCTGGCCAGGACACCATCCATCGATCGAGTTGGGCAACCCCACGCGATCGTGGCGATCCGCTGTCCACAGCAGACGCGCCGCGTTTGCATTGTAGTACATGCTCTCCGTTGTCAGAAGTGCCATCCACACGCAGGTCCGTGTTACGGGGGGATTAGACGCCGTCAGCGCACGTCAGAGGCCGAGACCTGTCGGAGAAGAGAGCTGTCGGGGACCTTGCGTTGCCCAAGGCAGCGCTGTCGTGCGCTGCGCCTCGCCCCCGTACTCCCTCCCTCCCGTATATCTGTTGCGCAGGCGATGTACCGTATGGTCGACGAATTCGCCTCGCCGACCATTGGCCGCCGTCGGCGTCATGTAAACTCGGGGCATGGGCGTAATACCCGCCACAACGAGTCGACGGCAGGGGTGGCCGACGCGGCACGACCGCCCTCAGCGTCAGCGCGAAGAAGAAGGGGGCGAGAAACGAAGTGCACACAAACGCAATCTCCGTCGGTAGTAGCACGCCAAGGCAAGGCTCTTGCCGACCGCTCGAGTGGCATGTAACAGCCATCTGGCATCTCCGCCGACGCATCTATTTTCAGCTATCACCTGAGTGGAGGGACAGGGGCGGCTGGCATTTCAATTCTTGACGCTGTCGACACACATGCGGATCCTGGCCGCAACCCTCGCGCTCGCGGTGCTTTCAACGCCCACGCATGGGTGTGCCCAAGACGCGGACACCGACTACTTTGGCAATGACATTGGGTCCGTCGCCCGCGCAAACGCGGGCGACTGCTGTGCGGACTGCAGTGCGCGGGCCGACTGCGTCGGCTACGTCTGGGCAAACGGCGTGTGCTGGCTAAAGAACAAACTCGCGGCCCGGTCGTACAAAGCGGGCGCCACGGCTGGCTACAAAGCGAGCTCGTGCTCGGCGATCGAAGAAAACACCGATTACTCGGGTTTTGACGTGGCGTCGACGAAACGTGCTGATGCGTCGTTGTGCTGCGACGACTGCACGGCCAACCCGAAGTGCTCCGTGTTTGTCTGGTCGGCGTATCAAGGAGGGACGTGCTGGCTCAAGAGCCAAAAGGGGCCGCGGGTGGCATCCACGGGAGCCCGTGCCAGCTCGCGCACGACCTCTGGACAATGTGGGGCCATAGAGGACAACACAGACTACTGGGGCAACGACGTCGCATCGACCACGCGAGCTTCTGCCGACCAGTGCTGCGACGACTGCGCGGCGAATTCGCAGTGCTCCGTATTTGTCTGGTACGGTGGGACGTGCTACCTCAAGAGCCAAAAGGGTGGCCGGTCGACGTTGGCAGGGGCCAAGGCCGGGTCCGTCGGGTCCCAGTGCACGCCGATAGAAGCCAACACAGACTACTTTGGAAACGACATCGCGTCCACGTCCCGCGCAAACGCGGGCGACTGCTGTGCGGACTGCGTTGCCAACCCGAATTGCGTCGTCGCCGTGTGGTACCAAGGCACGTGCTGGCTCAAGAATGCCAAAGGCGCGTCGTCGTCGTCGAACGGCGCGTATGCTGTGACTGTTCGCGGCCGCACGTCTCCGTCGCCGCCTCCTTACACCAAGCCCCCGCCTCCGATGCAAAACGTCCAGGCGCAGTTCGCATACCCCAAGTCGTGGAAGGCTGGGACGTACGACATGGTGACGAGCTTGCAGGGGTGCCAGAAGCGGTCGGTGTACAGCCAAGGCACGATCGCGCCGTATCATGAAGAAGTGAGCATGAGTTTCCGCGGGCCCATGGACATTTACGACATCAGCGTGTTCCAGTCGACGGGGGCCAAGTGGGTCCGGTCGTCCAAGTACAGCGCCGCCAGCGGTGTGTCGAACAACCTGGCGTTCATGACCAACTCCAACCCGGACAAGTTCAACGGCGGATCGCCGCAGGGGTACGCGGCAGCAGACGGCGTCGGGTTCTCGCCGAACCCGGTCCAGTTTGGCGGATGGCTCCGAGACGCGTCCAACCCGTCCGACGTGTACGGGGGACCTGGCGTTGCGACGGGGGCGGAGGTCAACATCATGCAAGCATCGCGGTGCACGGCAGACTCATGCCTGGGGTACTTTCCTCCGACGTACGGGCTCCACGGGTGGGGCGGGAGCAAGATCTTTGTCACCAAGGTCCGATTTGGCGCGGGCGGGATCCCCGCGATTTGGATCTTGAACGCTCAAGTGCTTCGATCGAACCAGTATGGATGCAACTGCCGCGGCCGTGCCGACCCCGGTGGATGCGGCGAACTCGACGTTGCCGAAGCCATCTACGCCGGGACCAACACCATTGCCACGCACAACTACTTTTTGAATGCGAACCCATCGCCCGGCCACGACACGTGGACGACGCGGCCAACGAACGGCGCCGCCACGTTCGTCACGATCCTCGACGAAGCCTCGGGGTCGATGAAGATTCTGAAGTTTGGCGACAGCGACTACAAATACTTTGATACGGACGAGCTCAGCAACGACAATGTCGCCAAGCTGGTTGCGTAGATGCGCGATTCTAGATGTGTCGAGTTGGTAGGATTAACTAGACGAACAACACTGTTCAATGGCGAAAGGCGACGACAGACATGCGCCATGCTGTCGCGGGGGTATCCTTGGCCCTGGAACGGCGGCCATCGCTTCAGTCACTTCGAAGAGTTGGCATGGAGCCAGGACAATGCAGTCTTGCTCCAGTGGCGACGGGCCTTGGACAACCTGGTGCTGGTGGAAGCTCCCCACAAGGAACGTGCAGCGGGGAGAGGCTTCGACGACAGCATGGCCTCCAACGGCAATGGGGCAGGATCAGTTGGATGGCTGTGCAGCTTGGCAATGGCTCCATCTCAACCTGTCCCTGCCCTCATGCCCTGCACCTGTTTCCTGCACCTGTTTCCTGTCCTTTGGCACTGACAATCCCGTATACCTTGCCGTGGCTGCGAAAGATTTAACACATTGATCCTGTTTAATTGTCGTCGCCGCCGTCCAATTCGTATTGCTGCACTCGCCCGTGTCGTGCCCACAGCTTATCTCGATCTGCTCCGTCGGGATCGGCCACGAGTCCGCGAACGAGATCGGGACCTCGACCGGCTTTTGCTTCGATCGCCGCCTCCCTTCTTTTCGTCGTCACCGTATGTGTTGTAGTGCCGCTCCAGCTCAATCATCATTGCGCGCGACACCATCTTGATGTGCATAAAGTTGCAGTACCCGCCACGGTTGCACGTGCCTTCGTCGAACTGGCGACACCTTGCCTCCCGAAAGTCGGTAACGGGGGAGTACTCGCACATGATGGGGCGGCCGCCGTAGAACCGACCGTATAGCGCCGTATGCGCAGCGGCAGCACACTCTTCATCTTCAAATTTCGCGTACACGTTTCCCACTAAGTGGTCGCCGAGGTTGTCGCACACGTTCAGCTCCTCAAGCTTGCCGAATTTGCACAGCTCTTCAAACACTTCTTCGAAAAAGTCCTCAAAGTCTTCGTCGACGGTCTTTTGGTCAAGCTGGTTCGGGTCGCCGTTTGCCGCAATCACTGTCGACAGCGGGTTCTGGTACATGTGCTTAACCAAGAGGGTCTGGGAGAACACAGGTTTGTTGTGGGAGCGGGAGCAACGGTCACCGTGCCGGCACGCGCCAATCTTAAAGTAGAAGGGGCAATTCACCCGATCTTCTTCTGTGCCGTGGATGCGAGCCAAGTGCTCGGCACCACCACCGGTGGCATCGCCTCGTCGATCACGGAACCCTCCGCCCATGCGGCCCCTGTTGTCTCCTCTGTACCCTCCTCCGCCGCCGCCGTAGTCGTTGTACCTGCTCATCCCTCGCCTGCCTTCTTCAACCAAACGCCAAATGCCACCTGCCCTGGCCGTTCATATCGGATGTACTGTCAAAGTTAATAATTCCGGTCATTATGCATTCATACAAGTTTCCCCCTTCACCTGCCAGCCACACACAAGTACCAAACATACCTCTATCCTTTTATAAGTACGTCTACCTGCAGCATATTATACCAAATCCTCGAGGACGATGGAAAGGTATGAACGAAGGGCGTTCAAGCTTGCCACCTTGACCTGCCATTCCATTGCCATTCCATGTACTTGAATGGTAAACAATTGCGACGACATCGTGCCAGTGGAGTCGAATTGTCGAATTTTACTTCATTTTGGAGCAATTTTCCAATGGGCAAGAGGTTGGCAAAAACAATGCACTGGCTTTGCCCTGACAAGGTTTAAGGGGTGTCTTCGGTACAGTACGCTATGCCTGCACACTGCGAGAGGGGCCGTTAGTTGTGACGATTTGCATGTTTAGACACAACTTCCAAGGGGCCGTTCGAGGAGGCGCTCGAAATATCCCAGCGCGACAGTTCGATCGATGTTCTCGAATGTCTCCACGAGAGGAATTTCCCCACGGCGCGTGCCGCCGTGACCAATCCGGAGGTTGACTGAGCACATAAATATACCATAGCAATTTGATTGGTGGATTTTACTCTTACCACGGAGAATATGCAATTTGATTGGCTATGGACCACACTGTTGCTTCGTTGAAGGAAATAGAGTTCTTTGATTGGTTAAAAGTTTCAGAAAGCTGCACAGCACTTTCGCAGAGCATCAAAGCATGCAAAACAAGCAGCAGAGTCACGACGACGTCGACTGGACGCCGCCGGCGCTATGCACGAGCCAACGCAGTGCAAGTTTGCCACCGCCAGCCGCACTGGGCAGTATCGTTGAATCTACCACACAAGGCCCGCAGTTCAAGTACGTCGTGAAAGATGGTGATACAATTGCAGGAATTGCACTGCGGTAAGTCGTCCTGGACCGTCGTCAAGAAAAATCCATGCGTTCCTCGTCATGTTGGCGTATGGGTCAATAGACATGGTATCCGTGAGTATGACCTGCGCCAGTTGAACCATTTGTTCGGCTGCAACATCTACAAAGGGCAAGAACTCGTGGTTCGAGTCAAAAGCCGAAGTAACAGCGTACCCACACCAGCCGTGGTGGACGGTACAGGGACGAATTCCTCGGTAAATCGACGGTATGTTGCGAGCAAGTGCATCAGCCTCTTTACACCTTCCGAATGGTTCTTTAGTTATAGCCTCAGCCAAGCTCGAAGCGGTGGTAGCTTTGGTGAAAACCCAGCATCGCCCGTCCCTTTTTCGTTGTACGCATTGGCTCACCTTGACATCATCCATGATGCTTAGAAATAGGTCGTGCCAACCTTCAAGTAACCAGCAAGACGATCTGTCCACTGCGCCTGCTGTCGTCCCCAGTGACAACTCGAAGTCCAACAGCAACCAACAGTTGAATGTGGCAATAAAGTCCGTCTCGTCCTCTGCCACGACGCCAGAAACCGACGTCGAAGCAACGAACGCGCTTGCCGACGTTGCGTCGATCCCGATTCTGCTCAACGCGACCTCGATGGACATCCTTCCGGACCCATCGGTCGGCAAATTCCTCGTCCCAAAGGTACTTCGTCGGTGGATCGCATGCAACCATCCTGACTGCGTTCTAGCTTGAAGCATGCTTGCCGCCGCAATACCGCGGCTATGACTGGTCCCTAGCGTACAGGTGTGCCTGCATTTGTACCCATCAATTACCTTGCATGTATAGTCTGGCGCAACATGGCGCGAGTTTGGACACGCTCTATCGCAAACTGTACCATCGACGGGCAACGCTGCTCGTAGTAGAAACCGGGGACGGCGATATCTTTGGCGCATTTGCGTCGTCGCCGTGGGCGGTGTCTACGTCGTTCTACGGGACGGGCGAGTGCTTTGTGTTCACGTGCTACCCCAAGTTTGAGCAGTTCGGGTGGACAGGCAAGAACAATATGAACATGTGCAGCAACGAGACCATGCTGGCCATGGGGGGCGGCGGCGGGTTTACCTTTGGGCTGAACGCCGACTTGTCTCGCGGCACGAGCGCCCCAAGCTTAACCTTCGGGAACAGGTTCGTTGGCAGGTCGGATCCACGCGCAAGGCCTTTGACGAACCACTAGGTGCCTCACCAAGCGCAGCGAATTTGACGTCGTCAACTGCGAAGTGTGGGAATTCGTGCCCAAAGTCTAATATGTTGTGTCGGACGCAACCTCGCAAACAATACATATTTATTTGATTTCGTTAAAGCTCGTCGCGTGGCGTCGCCAACTGCAGCGCGCGCAACAGCAATGACAACTTGCGCATGCTCTCTGCCTTGAAGTCGTTGTCCAGGTCAGGGTCGTCAAACCACGTGGCGTTCATCAAGTGGATGGTTGGGCGTAGGACCGGGTCGTACACCGAGGCGCAGTCGGGCAGTTGGAGTGCAATTAAGTCGATAGCGTCGACTTGCTGGCGAACGTTCAGCTTCTACAACATTCCCATGTTAGTCTAGAACGTTCACAAGAAGGCAAGCTCGTTTACTCGAGTTTGCAAAAACGACTTGGTGGCGTCGCAAAAGGTGCTTGAACGAAGCGCCTCGTGCAGGGCGTGCAAAGGATGTGACGTTTTGTCGTTACCAGCGGCCTCACACTCCAAGAGGTAATGCAGCGCAAGCTGGAGGGCCTACATCAAACACGTCAGTGCCTGGGCAAGGAGATGTCGTCAGGTACCTTATGTTGGAGCCCGACGGGTCGGTCTGGCGCGCCGATGATCTTGGCCACCAACCCGACCCCGTTGTTGTTCAAGAATAAAAGCTGGGCTTTCTCGTTTGCTTCCGTCAGCGCCGACAACGCATACAACATCTTCTTTTGCATGGCGAGCACCACCGACCGCATGTCGCCGTCGTCAGTGGATTTGTTGGGGTCAATCGCGAGCGACTGCAGCAAGAGTGGCATTGCTCCCGCTTGTAGCGCCCATTCCTGCGCCTGCTTGTAGTGCTTGACGGCGCTCCCAACAACCCACGCCGCTACAATCCATCCTCCGTCAAATGTTGTCGTGGCATGACATGCCAAGATGGGTCGGATTACCCATGGTGCGAACTTTGAAACTTGACGCGTTCAAGTGCTTCACTGTGGCTTCGAGGCCGCCGAGGGTGTAGAAGTCCTTGGCCTTGTCCAAGTCCTGCACCTCCCACTCTAATTTCTGCAGCGCGTCCACGACATTAGCCTCATGCACGTCGAAGTCGCCAGTCTTGGGCGTAACGAGCGTGTCGATGAGATCCTGCATGTGCTTGACTTCGTCGCGAACTTGGGCGGACGCATCTTTGAGCTCCTCTTGGCGCGCTTTCCATAGCTTTGCAATAAACGCCGAGAATTCTTCCTTTGTCAGCTTGCCATACGCTTCGTGGATGTTCATGCCGTCAAGCTGCGGAGGTTCGGGTAGTTGAGCCAAAACGTTGTAGAGGGATTCCCCGATCACGTTGCCACTCGAGTCAACGACAGCGCCATTCTCGTCGGTGTGTGCATGTCCATTATCTTCCAAGGAAACGGTCGGGTCGGAGTGGTAGATATCTGTAGACGAAATGACGTGCTTATGACGGCGTGGCACTGCTGCTACGTCCGCCGTAGCGTCGTCGTTGTCGAGGTACTTGGCTTCTTTCTTGCCGGTCTGCAGGTTGATGCGGACATGCAACCCCTACAAATACACGATCAGGTATTCCATTCTGCTCATGCAACCATGGAACGTACGCCAGGAATATGTTCATGGGGCTGGACTTCTTTCCATTCGTGGGATGGCTCAAAAATCGCAGTCTTCACGATATCTGCATTGCCAGAGGGACTTGCGTGACTACCATCGTCCGCAACTGGAGTAGACACAAGCGTCACGGCGTGGTTGTCGGCTTGTGCACACATTGCCAGTAGGCTCAGGCCCGCCAGACAAAGCACGAGCATCATTTTCGACGGAAACATCACAATGCGCGATCAACAGTATGTTGGGGGTGGAAGGGTGGATGAAAAGCCACGAAAATTAACCAATTTTCTGCCCTGTTGAGAATAGACAAAAAATTACATAGATTTTGTATCTACTTTTTCTTCAAAAAGAAACAAATTAAACAGTGACCACGTGGCTCAACGCCAAAGCAACGTGGCAACTTTTATCGTTGGCACCGATTTTGTGGCATGGCGAGGGAAAGAAGGGCGTGGCAGGCCGCTGGAATCTTGCTACATACGTACGTTGGTGCAGTTTACTATAGTGTTGTGGCTCAAGGTGCTGCTATTCGACCCCTTTCGAGGCGTTCTACCTTCTGGAGAGCTCTTGAGGTAAGGAATGCAAGATGAATTGTCCTCATCGAGTCTATGGCCATCGAATCCTCTTGCTGCAGCAATCGTGTCATTCCCCCCGCAGGCATGTTGGTTGCACGGACCACGAAGGCGAGAGCTGCTTTGGATCTCGGTGTGGCAGCTCTGGTCATCACTCATACCGATGGCCAGGTTTCTTCCTCGTACCTTGCGCATCGCTTGGCGAGAGCACCTGACTTCCACCTGAGAACAAATCCCTCGTCACGAAATCTAGCTGGACATGTTGCATCGGGTTGCGGTCAGTTCCAAAGCAGAGACACGCAGTGACGAATACATAATTCCATTCAAGGATTGTGCAACCAACGTACCTGGCAGCAAGGCGTAGTGAACGCCATTCGGTAAATAGAGTCGAAGATGTGGTCGCCAGCCCGCATCGGGTTTAGAGTCCTGCCTCCCTCTTGCCATTCCTTCTGTCGGCCCCCTACGTGAGAAGGTAGTTGAAGGCGACTGCTCGTTGGCGCAATTTAGCGGGAGCTTTTTCTTCCCAGCTACATAATCGCAGCATTCTGTTCAGTTGCCACGAAATAGGACAATGGAAAGAACATAGAAAATGCTTATACAGTTTAGGCGACGTCGCGGAGGTGACGGTAGGAGGTCCCGCCTTCAGGGAGCGCGGGCTTCTTGGTGACAACGCCGTATACAATCACGGCAAACCCATACACGGTTGTGACGATAGCGACAACTAGACCAAACGTGTTGTCGAGCATCAAGGTAAGGAAGCCAAGGAAGAAGAGGTAGAAGCCGCTGCCAACGAAGTTGCCAATCAAGCCAAACCATTCGAGGGGTTGTTGGGAGCCGAACGCAGTCGCCGCAAACAGCGCGTACGACAGCATGATGTGGTACAAATGTAAAACAATCTTCGAGATCGTCGCACGCGCGACACCCGATTCGCTGATGCTGTATTGATCCGTGACAAGGAGCCAGACGGCAGCAATGGAATTGAGGATAGCAAAGACACAGAGAAGAACCTGGTTGACCTTCTTGTCCGAGATCGATGGCTTGCAGCACTTCATGGCGGACGGGCGGGGCAGTGGGTAGGCAGGCGGCAGTCAATTGAGCACTGGCTAATTAATGCCGTAACACAACAATCTTCAAGATCTGTGGCGGAGGTGGTTTGTCCCATTCAGTCAGTGACAGGAAAAACCTTTTAGCCAATCATTCTGCTTTAACCTCCCCTCTTTGACGAATCAAATGATTTAAGCTTCCACAGTTCCCAAGGTTTTATAAAAGAACGTAACCTTTATCCCGCGACATTCAGCACGAGTTCAATTATATGCAGGTTAAAAGTATTGCACCAACCTACTAGTACAATTTTATGACATCCATTCAACTTTTTGTGGATTTATCCCGTGACATTCTGCAACAGTTCAACTATTTGCAGCATATTTACTCAAAATTGCACTACGAATTTTATGACGTCCATTCACTATAGAATATAATAAAACAAATTGAAGTTTATAATAATATTGCACGGAATGTTCTATGACGGAAATCTCACCTTGGCCCCACCCATATCATGCATCATGTTGGAGATTCGAGAAACTCGCGCGCGTTTCTCGGGGGCGCGCCGCCAATTTCCACGCGTCCGCCGCGCAATTGACCGGATGCAGCCCTTTCTACATCAATACGCTCCTCTGTCGATGGGTACAAGAAAAGAGTGAAATGCACGGTGCACAGAACTCCGTTGGAGGCGCGAAACCAAAGTTGGAACGTTTTTCATTAATCGCAGTGGCATCGTCACACATGGTACAGAAATCACTAGCATCTAGCTCTAAAACCGGTAGCTCGACCCTCCATGGCTGTGTCCACTTCGACCCCCAAAGCCGCCGCCGCCACCACGCCCACCAAAGCCGCCAGCTCCGCCAAAACCGCTAAAGCCACCGAAGCCACCGCCGCCGCCCATGCCGAACATGCGCATGATGTCGTTCGGGTCCATGCCTCCCATACCGCCCATGCCACCCATGCCGCCCATGTCGTTGTCCAGATCTTCTAAGTCCACGCCCGAGTCGTATCGTTGCTTCTTCTGTGGGTCCGATAGCACCGCATATGCTTCACCAACGTCCTTGAAGTCGATTTCGGCCTGCTTCTTCTCCTCGTCCGTCTTGTTGGCGTGTCGATCAGGATGAAATTTGAGCGCCGACTTGCGGTACGCCTTTTTGATATCGGCATCGCTTGCGTGCTGCCCAATATCAAGGATCTTGTAATAGTCCTTTCGCTTCGCCTTCTTGATCAAGAGCTTGGTTTCCCGAATGTACTGAGCATACTGGCGCTGCTGGTCTTCGCCGACGAGCTTGGACGCGGTCTCGTACTCGCGCAGTGCTTGCTCTAAGTTGTCCTTCCCGCCCAAGTCCTTCAGACACTGTGCCTTTCGCAGGTAAGCCTTCACGTACGAGCTGTCGTAGTAGATTGCCTTGTCGCAATCCCGAATCGCTTCGTCATTCTTGTCAAGCTTCGCCAGCGCCGCCGCGCGGTTGCAATGCAGCTTGGCATTGTACGATTTGTTGGCAGGGTCGATGGATAAACATGCTGTGTACGCTTCAACGGCTTCCTGGTACCGACCTCCCTTAAACGCGTCGTTCGCAGCTTCCTTTTGTGTGTCGAGTGCGCGAATGCGCTTGATTTCCTTGACGAACCGAGCGTTGTCGGGGTCCGCACGCAACGCTTCCTGCAAGTGGCGAATCGCGCTCGTAAACTCCCCTTGGAAGTACAGGCACTGGGCACGAAGGTAGAGGATGTCGGGCGACGACGATTCCGACCGCATCAGCTGTGTCAACACAGCAAACGCTTCGTCGTACCGTTCGCATCCAATGAGCGCCTCGGCGCGCAGCTTCTTCACTTCATTCGAGTTCGTGCAGGTAGTAAGCACGCTGTCAAAACAGTACACGGCTTCGCGAAACTTGCTTGCTTTGATGTGCTCACGACCCCGCTTGATCTTATCCATGGCCATCTCAGCCGAACGGCGCTCGTTAATGAGCGTCGCATTATTCGGATCCTTCATTAACCCAGCCTGGTACGTCTTGACGGCAGCTTCCAATTCCCCCAACGCGACTTGAGCCTTTGCTTTTCGCTCGTACCCTCGGATAAAACTCGGCTCCATTGCAATCGCTCGGGATGCATCACCAATTGCTTCTTGGTATTTGTGGAGCATCAAGTATCCAGCGGCGCGGTTCGCATAGAACGGTGCAGAGGTCGGGGAAAGCTCAATCGCCATCGTGTACATGTCAATAGCCCCTCTGTAGTCCCCCTTCTTGTATAGTTCATTGCCCTTGATCTTCCATTCCTCGGCGGAAGCTTCTGTGTTGCCGGCCGCGTCCATCTTTGTCGATCAATTTGGCACTGCGTTCCTGCCAGTCTTTTGCACGCGTCGAACGTCCCGATTAGGTCACGAGATGATTTTTTATTCAACATTCATATCTCATACAAATACATTGATAATGTTTTACTCCGTCGTGGATTTCGAAACTTTATTGAAGAAGTTTCGAGAAACCTGTATATATTTATTATTTGCAGAGTGCACGGACGAAGGTTGGAAGCGGTCCGAGCATGGCCTACGGGTTGGCGTTATGCCGATGGACGCGGCATGCTTTGAGCGACGTGTCGACGCCGTGCTTTTCCCAAGTCCGAACAATACTTCGCGAACGTAGATCGGCCTGGCGAATTGGTTCCGGCACGCGAAACAACGAGCATTGCAACACAACGTCCACCGCCTTGGACAACGAGATCATGTTGCCAATTGATACATAGATCGGGTTTTCAGTGCCTTCCGAGCACATCGCCATTCCCCAGACCTACGTCGGATGATCGTACTCCCAGGAGAATCACGAGCTCATCCTGCGTGTACCTTGGATGACTGGCCTTGCAACTTCAATGCCACAACAGATTGGGGACCGCCGCCGTCTGAAGTACGCGTGTGGGCCTTTTTCTCTTGCACCAGTGCGCGCACACTTCGTTTTGTCAACCCATCAACGTTGAGGAACGTTTTGGCAACGCCAATCGTGGGCAATTGGGTCACGACTCCCAGATGTGACGCAATTCCGAAACCTCGAGGGTGCAGCTCACCATTGCCGTCGACGAGCACCACTTGGGGGTAAAACTCACGTGGAATCATATCAAAAAGAGGCAAGAGCGCTGGGATCTCGCGAAACGCAAGAAAGGTTGGGATGTACGGCAATGTGAGGGTCGTGTGGCACGACACTTCACACACAACCTTGAGGTCTGGGAACGAAAGGATGACTAGAGCTGCACACGCATCGTCCGTGCCAGGGAAGAACGAAATGTCCACGCCTGCAATGTACTTGATCGTGGCCATGTCCAAATCGTGTGTTCGATCGAGGCGGTCACGCAACTATGGTTGTACATGAGCACTAAAGCCCCAACTGGAACGCTTCGTACCTCAACTTGCTCTGCCTTCCAGGCCTCTTCTTGTACTTGGTAGCAGCCTCCATGGGAGTGCGAAGTTGTGGCAATTCTCTCCATCGAGTCGACCGTCGTTGAAATATGGCGCACAACACTCGAAACATCATTGGGCACGGTAAATGATGGTCGCGTGGACAATTCCTGATTTCAAATAAGGATGAATCCTAAACTCATGATCAAAGCGATGGATTTCATACAAATAAACTTCAATGGATTTGACGTATTTTTCTCAATATATTGCACGAGATGAATTTAAAAAATGCAACTGATCCTGGCCTTTCGTGGTAAAAATACCTGCGTTGCCAACGGCATTTGAGCGGCGGGAACCACAGAACGCGCAAGGAGAAAGGGCAGCTCATCCGCCGCGCAAGTATGCCCGATTCTGAAGGTATGGAGCGAGACGTGGACATACGTGTGGACAATCGTTGATGCATCTCGACGGGGTGTAATGGTGTGGGGCTATGTAGGTGATAACTCCCCCGCGATTTCTGACTCGGAGGAAGAGACAGTGAAGAACACGAGCAAGAAGCGCAAGCAGTCGTCAAAGGATGGAAAGTCGTCGAAAAAGGCGAAGAAGAGCAGTCGCGTCGTGGACGAAGATAGTGAAGATGACGGAAGTGGTCCCAAATCCAAATTCGTCGATGATGAAGCCTCGGAGAGCGCTGACGACGACGACGACGACAAAGTCATTGATTCTTCCGAGGAAGAACTTGACGAAGATGTCGACACTTACGAGAAGGATGGCTTTCTCGTCGGGGATGACGAAGACGACGAAGAGGAAGAAGGTATGGATCATAAAAAACTATAATCCCTGATTATCTGTCCATCGTAGAACAACCCCGTCGGCGTCGTAAGAAGAAAGACAAAAAGGAAACGAAGAAGAGATCGCGGTTGCGGCATGGACGTGATGATCGCGACGAGTTGGACCGCGACGACTTGGATTTGATCCAGGAAAACCTGGGAAAGAAACCTGCTCGGGTGTACTCTGATGAAGATGACGACGATTTCGACGACGACATTGCATCTCCGCGAAAAAAGAAATCTGCGAAAGGAAAGCAAACGCTTGACAAAGGGCTGAGTCGCGATATGTTTGGGTCTGACTCAGAAGACGACGAAGACGACGATGGCGGGGGAGGACGCGGAAAACGTCGCGGCAATGGTCCTTCGGACCAGTACATGGACGAACAAGACTACAACAGCGAAGATGAGTTCATCGTGTCTGACGACGACGACGGGGCCGGAGGACCGCGTCGGCGCCGCGCAAAACGCCCCAGTAGTCGCCGTTCAGCAAGTGCATTGCCACAAGGCCCTTCGCTTGATCAATTGGACGAAGCCGAGGAATTGTTTGGGGATGCTGAAGCTTTCCTGGAAGCGACTCGCGGTGGCGGTGTCGTGCCATCGTCCTCCATCGGCGACCTCGACTCCGAGAAGGGCAAGAAAGCGTTGTTGTTGGACAAATACGAGCCGTCTGTGCTGAAGGAATTCCACATGACCACATCGGATTCGACCGTGCGAGAACGAGACATTCCCGAGCGATTACAGCAATTATACAAGCAACGAACGCACTTTCCTGACGCCGAAGAGCGCATGGAGGAAGCCGAGTGGATGGTCGATGCTGTGTTGCGCAAGATGGACCAACGTGCGCAAAGAGACAAACACGCCTCCCCCCTGACCTTTCATCGAAGCAACGTCGTCACTGCCATCGAGCACGTGCTCAAGTTTTACCACATGGATAAGCTTGAGCCGCCTTATGTCCAACGCTATTGCAAGGAGTACTGGAAGACAGCTGGGCTGAAAGGCGACGAACTGTACTTGATCCAAGATTTGGACTTGAAATGGGACAAGTTGGACCGGAAACGCAGGGTATTGCAAAAGAACGTTGAAGCTGCCGTATTGGCCAATGACACGACCGAAAGCACGACTGTGCGGTCGTGTTACCAGCAAGTGCTTCGCCAGACCCAAGATAAAGGCCTCGCCGATATTTCGCAAGCGTTTCAGATGCTGGAAGTGAATGACAAGCCAAACAAAGAGAAGAAGCGCCCAGGTCGCCGCACGCTCTACCAGCTGTGCCTCAAGGGGGGCTTGAAAGACCTAGCGTCTCAGTTCACGGTTAACTCTGCTATTTTGGGCGGCGCACTGGTCGGACTTGTCCCCGATTCCCAAGTTCAAGTACCGACTCCGCAAGCAGTGCTAGCCGAAACATGCATGCCTTACTTGAGCGCTGATTTTCCGTCGGTAAACGACGTGCTCAAAGGTGCTCGGCACGTGGCCGCGACCCAATTGGCGTCGGACCCCAACGTCCGCGCGCGAATGCGCGAAATCTGTCAGCGCCATGCGGTTGTGTTCACTGAAGCAACGCCGAAGGGTGTCGAAGAAGTCGACGAGTTTCATACATGCCACGGGCTACAGTACATCAAGGAGATGCCCGTTGCGGAAATGATGGACACGGATTTGTACGTCAAGTTGTTGAAAGGCGAGAAAGAAGGCGTGCTGACGATTCACTTTCAAATTGAGCACCAACATTTGATTGAGCCACTGGAAGCTGCGTACTTGGACCCCAAACATGTTAGCGAAGAATGGCAATCGCAACGTCGTGATATCGTGCGCGAAGCAGTTGGAAGTTCATTGGTGCCGATGCTCCTGGAAGAAATTAAGGCCGACTTGCTCACATCGGCACAGGACGTAGTGCTGGCGCGCTGCAGTAGGCTGATGAAAGAACGTCTCCTGGTCCGGCCATTTGAAGCCAAGGACTTGTCCGAACCTCATATCATGGGTGTGTTTGTGGACGTAACAACCGACGAACCGATTGCTCACGTTGTGGCGTTGGATGAGAACGGCGACGTTATCGACAAGGTTCAAGGGCGATGCAAGACTCCGAATTGCCTAGCAAAACTTACGGTGACGTTGACGTCGTTCTTGGAAGACCACCCTAGGCTGTCGGCGGTGGTTCTCAACACCAGCGGAGGAAACAAGAGCATGGACGTTGGTGAGTTGGTCGATGTTGTTCGCAACAAGATTCGCCGCCACCTTCTCAGCGATCCTGAGTACCTGCACGTGACATTTGTGAAGGATGACGTGGCTCGCATGTTTGCTAAGTCAAAGCGCGCCGAAGTTGAATTCCCTGAGGAAATGGAAGGAACCCGCGCCGCGATTGGTTTGGCACGGTATCTCCGCAATCCGTTGTCGGAACTATGTGCGATTTGGGGCTTTGTTCCTCTCGAAGAGCCAGGGCGCGGAAAAGAGCTGCTGTATTTGACGGTCCACCCCCTTCAGCAAATGGTCAACCAAGAAATGCTTGTGCGCGCGTACGAACGCGTATTCATCCAAGTGGTGAATAAAGTCGGGATCGACGTGAACGTCAGTGCGAATCATAGCCACTCATCGTATGGTCTGCAATTTGTCGCGGGGCTCGGACCTGTCAAGGCGATGGCGCTCATTGAAAAGGTGCGATTGAGCGGGCATATTGAGAAACGCCAGGATTTGCACCGCATTTTGTCGGACAAGATCGTGTACCGCAATTGCGCAGGTGTGCTGCGAATTCGAGAGCGCGATGCATTGAAGGACGCAGCACTCAACCCGCTCGACGACACTCGTATCCATCCCGAGAGCTATTACATGGCCGTCAAGATATGTGGCGACGCCAACAACAATACAACGATGGATTTGTATGACCCTGATCAGTATTCGTATGCCGTCGAAGACACGATGTTCCAGTCGGCCACGGCTATCAAGGCAGCCACAGAGCGGTATCATCCCGAACCGTACAAGCGTCTTGGCGATGCTGAAATCGCCGATTCCCTTGCAGACCTCGACTTGCCTGCTTACGCTCAACGACTCGAAATGCAACAGAAAGGGCTCAAGCTCCACACGTTGGAAAGCATTAAGCAAGAGTTGCGGTACCCGTACTTTGACACGCGGCAGAAGTACAAGGACCCGATGCTGGAAGATTTGTTCTTTCTCCTTAACGGCGAAACCCGCGACACTCTTCGTGTCGGGATGGTCGTACCGTGCAAATTGATCAAGTCGGCGGGGGAGAACAACGTAATTGTCGAATTGCATAGCGGCATCCGCGCCCAGCTCAAGAAGGAACACTTGCCGTCGTTCTTGACATGTGATGGTAACAAGTACCTGCGCGAACATGGATTTCCTCGTGGCATGCAAGTGAATGCCAAAATCATGGACATTGTACCGGACGGCGACCGCTATGTGCTCGCGCTTGCGTGCGACGACCGGTCGATATTGACAATGACCGAGGAGTGCTTCAATCGCCGGTCGATCCCATCGTGGACTGAGGTGGACCGCGTCATCGACGATAGCAAAGCGCGATATGACAAGCTCGTGAACAAACTGCCGAGCCCAGAGAAGGAAAAAGACTGGAACAAACTCATGCCTGTGAACGGCCCCGTGCGCAAGAAGCGTCAAATAGCCCACCCTGTCTTCAAGAACGTGTCGTTGAAGGGCTGCATGACGTTGATGAAAGATATGTTGCCGGGGGATGTCATGCTCCGACCGGCGAGCAAAGGGTCAGACCATTTGAGTTTGACATGGAAGATCGATTCAAACGTTTACCGCCATTTTGACGTGCACGAACTCGACAAACCGACGGAAGGTCGCCTTGGTGCGAAGCTCGTCGTCAAGAATGAAACATACGACTCGATTGACGAACTGATTGCGCGCCTGATTGACCCTATGAACGCGTACATTGAAGAGATTCGCGAACACAAAAACTACATGACAGGGGACGTCCGCGCCATTGGCGACAGACTCGTCAAGCTGAAGGAAGCCAACCCCCAGAGCGTGCCTTGGGCCCTGCACTTGTATTACAGATACCCCGGCTGCTTTTCCATCACGTACGTGGCACGGACGTCGCCCCGGTCATTCCACTTCATCGTGAATCCGAATGGGTTGCAATTCTTTGGTGAGCTGTCGTGCAAAGAACCAATCCCATCGCTTACAAAAGCGATCGCGTATTTCAAGAAGTCAGCGTCCAATCCCCCAAAACGCCGAGAGCCCCCCGCCGCCGCCGTCGAGAAACCGACTCACTCGTCGTATGCTTCTGGTGCGCCGTCGTCGTATGGAAATGCGCAGCCTCCGTCGCATTACAGTGGCGGCGCGTCGACGTACAGCCGAGATCAGTACCAGCATTCGTCGAACTCACAGTCGTCATCGTACTATGACCAAAACAGACACCGCAACAACCATGACCAAGGACGCCCCCGCGACGACCGTCGTTATTGAAGCCCCACACGTACATGACATTCACATCACAGCATCCTCGCTTCTCGACTTGCAAGATAACCCATAAATATATCCATCTGTGGGTGCTTATATGCGACTGAAAAATTGGCCGCCCGAGGCATGCCACGTGACAAAAGCGAGGCGAACGCAAGGCGGTGCTGAGCTCTATTTCGTAGTTATTTCATGCGGTAATGTCGCCAACAGGTCGATGGTCACGTCGCTTCAAGGGGTACATGCGGCAGCGAGCCAAACACGCGATGCGACGACTCGAACACGTCTCCACACGCGACACATCTACGGCGACGTCACGTAAGTAGCACGTCCGGACCAACGTACGCAAATTCTGGGTTCCCCGCCACCGACGACTGCAAACAAAAGTAGCAGTAAACATGGCCGCACGACGTTCGGTATGGCGTCTACGGAGCATCATGCAGAAGTCGATGCCGCAAGTGAAGAACTACACCACCTTTGCTTGGGTTGTCATGCAAATCGGACACCCCGTCGCGCGGGCACCAGCCTGGCTGTCGGTGACGTATCCAACGCGCTTCACAGCTCGCCACAAACGACTCCAATTTACCAGCGGCAGCACAAACATACCAAAGTCCTGCGACCCAAATGACCAACGGCTTCCACCACATCGGCTTTACGTACCACCAATCCATCCCACACTAACTGCCGGTTCATGTATTCGAACGTGATCGCGCGCGGTTGAAGCGATCGTTTGTTTCTTTGCTAAAAATGTTGACCGACACATCAGAACGACGAGTTTGGGATGCTGATGTACCAGTTTCATACCGACGACACGCTCCGCCAACGTGCGGTACTGCCCGTGCTTGAAAAACGCGGCGTGGTTGAGCAGTTGGCACACCGCAGCTATGGTGCTGATGCGGTGCAAGACTGTTAAGAAGCGCTGGTACTTTTCCTATGAATCCATGAGTGCGCTTCGCATTGGTGCATCGAGGACACTGACAACCTACCTCGGCCTCTGTCGTGCGGTCTTCCCTCCATCGTTGGCTCAGGAGCAAGTGATGTATTCGCTTCCAGCCGTATGGAATGACAACCGAAAATAGGAAGAGAGGAAGCGTCTTTCTCCAGGTCAAGCACGATGTGGCGTAGGTGAGGTTCTGTAGTGCCATGCCGGGTGTGGGCTGTTGAAGTGTCAGTATGTACAACGTTGTGAAAACCATGGGATCGAGCACCTTTTTCATTCCCACGGAGAATATGAACAGCATGGCGAGCACCGAGGCATCGATCTCAGGCTGGAACTTTTCCATCAACCCTGGTCGACAGAAGGCAAACATGTTCTTGACGGGGAACTTCATGAGGCTGAGGATTTCCGAGTCCAGTACCGTGGAATCCCATTTATTCACACGCAGATTCGAGATCGCATGGCAGTGCTTGGTGACACTAGACTTCGCCACAATCTGGCGGAGATGGGCCAGGCACTCAATGGCGCCGCCGTGCTCGTCGCGCCAACGTGCTGCCATCGTTGCAACAGTTGGCGGCTCAAGATTTCCAAGGATAGAAACTATTTTACCCAATTCATGCAAGGAATTGAAAATACATAAATTTCATTGGCTAATTTCGCACCTATTATATCCAATATTTCCGTATTCTAATTTAGGGTATTTCCAGATTCTGTAGGGTGATGCCATTGTTTTTATGCATATCGGGCAAATACTGTATTGTACTAGTACTTCATTTATACGTTTGGTGTACGTGAGCATTTTGATGAACATTTTATCCGTAAATGCAATCGATTATTTAAAATGTCTGTATCCGGTTAACCCGCTTGAACCATCAGAATTGCACAGAGGCACGCAAAAGGACACAACTCGACCTCCCGTGGTTGACCTCGAGCGCGATGCCATCGAAGCGACAGAGCATTGAGGACACGGTCAAAGTTCCCGTCAAGAAGTTCAAGCGGGATAGCAAAATTCTTTACTCTGGATGGGAAGTCCCGCATGCCAACTACACATTGGATTCCGTGGACGTCAAAGACCTGACGCCTCAGGTGTTCTACGACACGTATGTCAAGGCGCGCCGGCCTGTGCTGGTCAAGGGGTTCATCCAAGATCCATCTTTCTCAGCGCCATCCAAATGGACCAACGAGTATTTGACACGTCAAGCAGGAAATCAAAAGGTGATGGTCGAAGAGCGCACCAGTACCGCGGAATCTTACGGGAAGGGCAACGAGGTCCCGATGACGTTTGCCAAATTCATCAGTCTATTGGAAGCTCAAGACCCTCTGCACTACCTCACGACGCAAGACGTGGAGGCAGACCCCGAGACCGACCGGCCACAGCTGATGGCGCCATTTGTCCAAGCCTTGTCTGGTGACTTTCCCATCACGCCTGCGCTCATGGTGTGTAGCTATATTTGGTCAAACCTTTGTCTTACAAGTGTGCAGGGTAACTTGATCCCCCAGAACATCAACATTTGGATGGGCCTGTCCACGGACGGATCGACTTCTGGTCTTCACCACGATTACCATGACAACCTGTACATTCTCCTCCGTGGGAAGAAGCGGTTCCGTCTGTACAGTCCTGGTGACGTCGAGGCCATGTATACCCGGGGAACTCTCCTTAAGGTGCACCCGAACGGCCGCATCAACTACGTAGGCGAGGAAACGACAGCGTACGGCGCAGACCTGCAGTCGGACCAGGCGGCGTCGGCGTATTCGGAACAACGGCTGGCCGAAATAGAGGTGAAATGAGCTCGAGGCTGTCAAGACTAGACACGTAGTTTGTAGCTGGAGGCTGCCGAACGAGATCTGGCCAACAAGGTCCCAGGGGCGGCCGCCCGCGTTGCCATGGCGGAAGAGCGGCTGGAACAAGCCATGGAAGCCACAATGGAAGTCGAGTTTGAGGATGACGACGAGGACGACTTTGGTGACGATGGAGATGATGGAGAGGACGACAGCAGCAACGACGAAATGCCGTCCGACGTCGACAACGATTCCGCCCGAGTCGTGGACAAGACGGTCAAAGACCCCGTGAGCTTTAGCCGCATTCAAACCAACCGACCCAAGGACGAGCTCAAGGCAGAGTTCCCACGGTTCCTACAAGCCCACGCCGCGTTCTGCGATGTCAACGTCGGTGAAATGCTGTACTTGCCGGCGTCGTGGTTTCATGAAGTCACGTCGTGTAATGGGCCGACCAACAACGGCCACTTGGCCCTCAACTACTGGTATCACCCCCCCGACGCCGCCGACAACTTTGCCAAGCCGTACACAAGCGACTTCTGGACCAACGATTATGCAGCCCGCTCCCGTGCTCTGTAGTCCACAACGGCGGTTCGAAATTGAACCCAGTACCACCAACGCGACAGTCCTCTGTGTTTTGCTGAGATTCTTGGAGCCAGCTGCCGTCCCTCGTGACAGCTAACGTTAGCATGACAAGGACAGGTACCTCGTGGCTTGAACTTATGTGGCATGCGTTGCCCATGTAATGTGCGAAAAGGCCTTCGCAGTTGGCGCATGTACATCAAACCCCCGCCTGATCTGGATGGACCGCGATGGCATGTGCCCGAGTATCAGAAACGCTACAGGAAACGTGAATCGACCTTTGTCTTCATTGTAGCAGTAGCTTGTATAGCAGCAGCAGAGACGAACACACGTTGAGAGGCAGACTCCATGGCGCGTTAGCCAACCGTCTACATGTCCCAAAACGTGTGACTCACATCGGCAGACCCTCGCTCCATTGCCCCAGCCGTTCATACAGCTCATCTAGCGAAACGTGCCCAGCCAGGCGAGTCGCCGTCCCGTCCGTCAGCCGAGTTGGTGGCGGTTTCACTGTGACAGTGGGACAAGCCACTCCAAGTTTTCGGTTTTGGCCAATCCAAGACGATATCCGGATAATTGGACCAATCGCGGCGCGGGGTGACCGAGCCCAAGATTCCGGCGAGATGAGGGAGCTACATCTTGGCCACCAACATGCATGGCTGCTTGCATTCTGACAAGCAGCGTTGTTGCGTTGTCATGCCGCCGCAATGGTCTCTCATGGCTCGCCGCGCCCCGACGCGACAGATCTTTTACCTGTCCTTTGATGCGGACATTCCGCTCTTGGACGTGACGTGGATGGACAACGCCGAGAGTACCATGTGTGTCGTTTGCCACGACACATTTCACTTTATGAAGCGCAAACACCACTGCCGACTATGCGGTCGTCTTGTGTGCAACGCATGCTCCACGGCCCGCATCGCTGTCAACTCGTCCAACCAGCTCGAGCGATCGTGTTGTGTTTGTTGCGGAGTGCTGCAAACTCTCGAGTCTCTCGGGGACACGCGAGTCCAGAGCAACCAGGCCGTGACGCCGCCAAGCGTTGCGCTTCGTGCAACCTCCCGCGAACACGACTTCGACCGCGTCATGCGCGTGCGACGGCAGCTCAAGATGTTCCAGCCTGCCTCGACACACTACTACATTTTGAGTGCCGACTGGCTCCAGGCATGGTTCGACTACAGCATGCAACACGGCGCCCACCCGGGCTCGATTTCAAATCACACCCTCCTTTCATTTTACCAAGGCAAGCTGCACGCCACGCGTGGCCGCAAATACCGAATCGTGCACGAGCTGATCTGGTGCACACTACACAAATTGTACGGCGGTGGGCCGATCATCACGACCCGGACGACCATGTCTTGGACGATTCAAATGAGCGAAGGCGAGATCGCCAAGACTCTTGTGCACACGACGGCTCACAAAAAGTCGGCGAATGGGTCCAAGACGGGATCGTTGCAGTGCTGGTTTCAGATGGAATGCAATCGGCATAGCCTCCTGCGGCGAGCGAGCGGTATAAGCAGAGATGGTACGTTCAACGACGACATCCTGTCCGCGCAATCGGCCGTCAAAGCGTTCGCCGCCGCTGCCAACCAAGCGCGGCGAGACGCTGAAGGACGGGTTAGTCCATTATCCAACAAGTTGCGGTTTTCCGTCGCCTAGCCCCATCGGCTCGCTGGCTTCCACGCCACCATGTAGAACCACTACACGCAATGACTTTGAGCAATTCAAACGGCGCTTTCCATGCATTGTCCGCCATCTCCTGCCTAGACAATCTTCCTCCACGCAATGCTAGGTTTCAACCAGTCCTTCAAATCAACGCCACAAGTTGTCAGAGTACGATCACGACACTCCGATGGAACTACTTCCGTGGTCAAAGAGGACAGACACCTCCTTGCTTGAACGAAAACTCGAGGGAACTCACTGCGCCGTTCGGTTTGGTATGCAGACCTTGCGGTGACGCGCTGCACTTTTCAAAATGAACAATCGGCCATTGCCATCCATTCCTTGTCTGGCACTCCAACGGTGGACCGAGTGGTTTCGTTTTCCACTCGATGCGTGTTGGGTACACGTCTTGACCAGCCAGGGGGACGATCGTAGCTCCCCCACACGTTCCGCACTGTCCCCATTTCTCTGAGTTTTCATGTTCAAAACAATGGTGGATGTCTGCGATGGATTCAAACAACGCCCGTGGCCCACGTGGCATGGAGCGACGGGGGATACCTCCACCCCTTTCCAAAAAAGTTGGGCGGTCGGTCGATCGTGGCAGGGTCTTCTCTCCACGTTGCTGGCCACAGGTCGGTCCTGACAAAGAAACAATTCACGCCGTGGGATTCGCAGTACACAAGGGTGTAGCCGTTCAAGAGTCGGACAAACGCGGCAAGTGTCGCGCCAAAGTAGTTGGACACGCCATCCCATCCTTGGGGGTCGTACGTGGCAACTCGGTCGTCGGGGTACCGATAGTGCGAGTTGACTTCGACGACGATGACGGACGGCGTGTACCGCTCGAGGATGGCTTGAAGGACGTAGTAATCGTTGAAGTCGATGTCGACCGAGAGCAAGTCAAAGTGCGATGGAATCTCGTGCTGCTCGAACAAACCGACAATGTTGCCCGGGGTGATCCATGCCCTAGAGACAGATACATCCATGACGACTGGTCGAGACAAACAAGGCGCACTGGTGAAGGTTTGTCGACGGATCCGAGTGGCTGCCGTCCATGGAGAGCCCCGTCCACCCGTGCACCTCGCGCAAGTACCGCGTGTTGCACTCCATGCCGTCCTCGACCCCAAATTCTACAAAGATTTTGTTTGTCGGGGCGACGAGCTGAAAGAGCAATTGCAAGACCCCGTCCTCGCCGTTTTGGGAAAACACGCCATATTCTTGGTCAAACAGCGCATGCAAGATGGACTCGCGCGACGGCGGGACGTTCGGATGGTGTTTGGGCGAGGCAAACATGAAAGGAGGGACCATCGGAGGAGTTTTGTCGGCGCGCTGTGGCAGATGCATCTCGTTGGACCGACAGATGCACTTGTTGTACTCGTTCACGACCAACGCCACGACACTGGTCCGGGCGTGTGGAAGAGGCGGCAGCGTCATGTGCATCGACAAGTAGGTCGAGTTGAAGCAGGCAAAGGGTGTGTACGAATCTGCAGATGACGTCGTCACGAGGCACACGCGATTCCTGTCGTCTTGGATATCGACGCCGTCGAATTCGATGGCAACGGAGGTGCCGCGACGAACGAGTTGCACGGACGGCTTCACCATCGTGAAAAAGATCGCATGCATGGGCTGGGACCCGTTGGTTACCATGACAAAGTGGGGACCAGGTTGAGGCATCACGTTGGCTTTCATGAACATGGGCTCATCTCGATCGAGGCGGCCACAGTACGCTGGCTCGACTTGGGTGTCAACGAAAAAGCACACGTCAGAGAGATTGCGGTCGATCTCTAGATACAGTCGCTGGTTCAGTGGACACAATTGGCGCGGTCGCATGGTGCGAAACAAATGCGGCGACGTCAGGTCGCTGTCCGCGGCTGGTGCAAATGTAAACTTGGATTTCCACATTGCTTGGACGTGGATCGAATGGCAGTCGGCCATCGACAGCGCATGCGCGCGGCAAAACAGTGCAACCTCCAGCGATGGATCTTGTCGCGATTGTAATTGAATGGAATGCAATCGGCCGTCCACGACAAGCGACAGCACGTTCGAGTCTGGCTGAGGGATCGTGAAATTGACGACAGAAAAGTCGAGGTCGTGGGCTTCCAGAAAGGCCACGTGCTCCCCGATGGCGTCGACAATCTACGACATGGTCAGGGCGCCACAGCTGCGAAGGGATGCACGACTACCTGGGCACACGAGTCCACGTATTTCGTGCACAACGTTGTCGCTTGCATATCCGCCGGCAGACTCCTCTCCACGGCAATCAGCTCGACACTTGGACGTACTGGTTCCACATGGCTGTACGTCGCGTGGACCCGCATCGACCGCGCGACTGCCGCAGCAGCGACCACGACGCCTTGCAGCCCCATCAGCATGAACTCGTGTGAGATTGTAACTCGAAATCTTTCGACAGTCATCCGGAAACTTCCATGATTTTGAAAAAATACAAAAACATTTGGATTAGAGTAGCATCGACCGATGATGGCACACTAGATGCTGTCCTGCTTGAGCTGGTATGCTGGCGCCTTCGCAGTCATGTCGACGAGGTGCTGCTGCCGATGCTTCGTCTTGCGCCACATGAACAGGACCATTCCGATTGCCGCCACCGCCATGAACACAGAGGCACCAGTCAACATCTGTGGCCAAGACGTGTCATGGTTTCGAACAGCAGTCTCGCCTGGCGTGAGAGGCAGTGGGGTCATCGTGATGCGAAGCACTCCGGCGGGGCTGCTGACGGTTCCTGCTTGAGACTCGAGCTTCAAAGAGGGATACATCGAGTTGCACCAATGGCCTGGCTGGTCGTTGCCGGTCATCCCCCACACTTCTAGGTACATGGGTCCACAACGCAGAGGTTTGAGAGGCTGGGCGACCATCTTGCCATCCGCCGCGACCAAGTTACTGCGACAGACATCCATGGACGTCACCCACAAGCAATCGCGTCCATTGTTGGAGTAGCATTCGACAAGGTTTGAGTTCAAATGCACGCGGAAGGCACTGACGGAATCTCCCCATGCCTTGCATTCCCACGCAGCAGCTTCGATGATGGTGGCGTTCATGACTCGAAAAATGGGAATATGCATGCCATTGCAGCCCATCGCGATCGCGGCAGAGATGCTGACGTCCTCGCCTTGCCCACTCCCTCTGTCACGGGAGTTTCATGTGGCCACCAATCCACTGCAGCATGGCTTGGCCCGTTTGGGGCTGTCACGGATCATCATCGATTCATTCGAACGCGACAGCTGGTAATCGTGCGGCATGGATGGACAGCGCTCGACATCGTTGGGCCTGCATCTTGTGACCGAAATCCTCCATTTCCCCCGACAACCTTGCACCCTGCAGTCCATGCCATGAATTTGTGGTGCCTTCGCTACTCGCGAGTCAAAAGCTTTCACAACTGTAGCTCTATTCACTGCCAGGACAGCACTACGCGACGTAAACGAGGACTTGCAAGCTCCCGCGAGCGCATCGCGTCCTCTTGTAACGGGTTCACACCAGGGGAGCCGTTTCGTTCGCACTGAGTTCGTAGGCTCGCCGTGTCCTTGTCGTGGTCATGCATGTTGCAATTCGACAAGCCGAGCAATGCGACCACCTGCGGCGGATCTACGACCGCCGTGTGGACGCGTTGGAGCAGACCATGCTCGTCCTGCTGCGGAACGCCCGCGTCTACGAAGAAACGGTCCACAACATGCGCAACTTTGTCGCAACGTCGCTGCAGTGCATGTATCGCGGGTGGAAAGGTCGCGAGGTGGCGAGTTCCGCGCGACATCGACACGTGTCTGCGATTCAAATCCAGCGAGTCATCCGTGGCAGGCTGTACGTGGGCAGGAAACGCGACCGTCTCCCTGGACGCTGTTTGTTCTTTGTGTAGAGGTCGCAAGAAGGCACTGCGGGAGCGGAGGCGGCAAAACATGGTGCTCCAGAGCCCGTGGGCCATGCGTCAGCTCTTGTCGCGCAGCGTCCTCATCCGCACGGTGGGGTCATGGCAAGAGTTCCTCGACCCATGGACAAACGAGTTTTACTACTTTGAAATGTACACGCAAGACAGCCAGTGGCATCCCCCCGACGAGTACTCTGCGTTCCTCGCATGCGACTGGGTCGACTGCCGCTTCAAAGCCAGCACGACCAACGAAATCCACGAACACAAACGAACGCAGCACACATGGTGCGTTCGTCCCAAGAGGCGGTGGGTCGTTTCATGACGGGTTGTTCCAAAGGTACTGCGAAGTGTGCCAGGGCCGCAATGTCGGGTATACGTTCCCCACGTGCCCCACGTGCACCGTCGTGATGAATACCCCGACAATCGTGCCACCCCAAGACTGGCCCCTCGCTTCGAGGCGGCAATCGATGCCCCCGATCGCGCCGGCCTTGGCCACCCCCCAGTTTCCAGACAAGGTGCGTGTGATGCACAGCATGAACAAACGCCAAGTTGCTGACATTGCAGTTGGACAGCCCCCCGTGATTGCCCCCGCGGTTTCCCCTGGGCTCAGGGCCACGCAGGTGGCAAAACCAGACGGGGAGTCCAACGGAGACAGTGGCGACGATCTCAAGTCGCTTGCAATCGATGCGCGGCCGTTGCCATGTGACATGGAGGGACTCGACCATTTGCTTTGGATTAGCGCGTTCAAAGGAATGGAAGAAGCGTTCGCCAAGGCGCGATTCGCGAGTGGGAGCTTGTACGTGGGGAACTTTGTCCACGGCACGGTGTTTCATGGGTGGGGCGAGTACTATTACGCCAACGGCGACCGATACCGTGGGCAGTGGCATCTTGGTCAGCGGCAGGTGCGGTCACTTGAAACCCATCTCTCGGAGTGATTGAGGGGGCGGTGCAGGGCGTTGGGCTCTGGAATAGCGTGTGCGGGAAACGATATCAAGGGCAGTGGAACCAAGGCCGCCGCCACGGCATTGGACTTCTCCAGCATCCCAACGGCGAGGTGTATCAAGGCGAGTGGGTCGACGGAAAGATCCACGGACGAGGTCGTCGTCGCTCCAACGCAGTTGGCATGACACATCTTATGAACACCAGGCATCCACACGAGTGCAAACGGCGACTGCTACGAAGGGGAATGGGTCGCTGGCGTACATCACGGCTTTGGCACGTTTTCTCGGGTGATGCGCTTCGTTCTTCCTGGTCGGCGGCGCCTCATGGCCATCGTGTTGACTGCGCAGGTGGACGGGAGCTCGTACAAAGGAATGTTTGAGCATGGAATGGCCCACGGCATCGGGATCCTGTCCGCGAATGGCGAAGTGTACAAGGTATTGTGCGTTGCCATTCCATGCTGCTGCATCGCCGAGGTGGACATGACGCCGTGCGATGGCCCTAGGGCGAATGGAGGAACGGCTTTCGATGTGGCCGGGGCGTGTGCTACTACGCCAACGGAGGCGTGTACTCGGGATTGTGGGACCGCGACGAGTGCGTCGGCCGCGGCGTCTTCATCTCGAGCGTCGGCGAAAAGTACATTGGCGAGTGGCAACACAACCTCAAGCAAGGCCGTGGCAAGTACATCTTTGCGAACGGCGACGTGTTTGACGGGTCGTTCGTCGACAACCGCGCCACTGGCCTCGGCGTGTACCGCTTTGCGACCACGGGCGACGTGTACACAGGTATGTCGTCGAACGTTCTTGCGATGAGCTGTCGTTGACAAGCGCGGGCGATGAGCAGGGCCATGGCGGCACGACCGGTTTCACGGCCGAGGGGCGACGTACGTGTGGGCGAGTGGGTCCATGTACGAAGGCGAATTCGTCAACGGCCATATCGAGGGCCAAGGCCGCATGACGTACCACAACGGCAATCGGTACGGGAAACGTCGTGGCAGCTGTGCGGCAGCCTAGGGCCGTTGTTTTTGAACGATAGATACACCGGCAGCTTTGTTCAAGCTCAAAAGCATGGCTCGGGCACGTTTGAGTGGCCCAACGGGAACGTGTACACGGGGACTTTTGAATCGGGCACAGTCAACGGGAAGGGCGTGATGAAGTACTCGAGCGGACACAAGTATGACGGCGAGTGGAAAGACGAGCGGCGCCACGGACGCGGCACGTTCTGGTATGCAAATGGAGACGTGTTTGAAGGCGACTGGGCCGACGACGAGTTTCACGGCCACGGGACGTTCACGTGGCGACCTGGCAGCAGCATGCAGGAGCAGTACAACGGCACATGGCATCGAGGCATTCGCCACGGCCAGGGGCGGTATGTGTACTTGGACGGGAATGTGTACGAAGGCGAATGGAAGGACGGGCGGCGCGATGGCCACGGCGTGTACACGTGGGTACATGGGGACGTGTACATCGGCGACTTTGCCAAGGACGACCAGCATGGCCATGGCATGGTCACGAACCAGGTGCGTCAACGTGCGGCCGTCGGTGCACGATGGGCAACACGAGTGAAGCAACGATGTGGTAGGAAGGAGACGTGTACGAAGGCGGGTGGGCGCACAACATTCGATCGGGGGCAGGCGAAATTCGGTACGCGGACGGGGGCGTGTTTGTCGGGACGTTTTCGAATGGCGTCCGGCACGGGCACGGCGTGAGGACTTACCCCGATGGAAACTCGTATCGTGGGCTGTGGCTCGACGACAAGCGACAAGGCGGGGGCATCTATACCTTTCACGCCACGGCGTCCGACAAGATCAAGCTCAAGGTGTTTGGGTACTGATCGTGATTTCAAACAGACGTGTCAAGTGTGCGATTGTGTGCCTTGACATGCGCCAACTAAGCGCCAAGGCGGGAGGTCCAAGAGGCTGGGCGGGCTCCATGGAGCGCTGGCGTGTCGCGCGGTCACCTTGTTCACCCATCGCTGAACGCATAGCCTCTTACATGCTTGATGCGAGTCAAGGGTTGGAGTGTGAGCGCGGGGGTGAGATGGATGTGGGGGCGGGCGCCAGTTCAAGGGGATTGTGTACTGGGCCAAGGGGAACTTGCCATCCTTCTAGGACATGTAGTCGTTCGGCTAGCATATCGCACATGGCGCGCATCGAGCGCATGGCTATACCATCGTCGTCAAGAGTGCCATGGATCGTGTAATATGTGTAGGAATAAAACAGGCTTCTCTGGAGTATAACGCACTTTGACTGCATTGTTTTAACTAAAAGGACGCAACGACATCGGGCCAACTTCTTCGAGCAATAATGAGGTGCAATCGAACGGGAATGGCGGTGTACGAAGGCGTAACAGTGCTAGCAAGGCAGAGGCAACCCTTGGGAGATGGCACCGGTGAGGGTTTCTTGACGAAACCTCAGTAGAGAATGAACTCGTGACTAAAACGTTGACGAATGCGGAATAAAACCCACCATGCGACAAAACGCGTTCAACCCAGGAGGCACCGAACCAGCCGAAGCAACGGGCACAGCATTCGAGATCCAGAGCGCTTCGGCGGCGGCGATGCAGACGATGACGATGGTGGACGAGGAGAAGCGGCAGCGCAAACTCGTGTACAACCGCAACCTTCTGCGGCAGAAGCGATGCAAATACTTGTCCGAACGACAGGCTCTTATGGATGAACTGGCAGCGCTCGAGGCGAAGCTCGAGACAACGCTAGCGACGGCGAAGCCGCCGCTCTTGTCGTGGCGAGACGTTATGGTCGGCCTGAAGGACGATCGCGAGCTTCAAGAGCGCGTGTCTAGAGAACTCCTGGCCAAGTACCACACGAACAAGGAGATATTTCGGTTTTTGTCCAAGTGGGCAAACCAAGTCATCACCCCACAAGTGCGTTCAGCAACATGGCCTGGGATACGTCGTCGAGTTAACGTCAAACGCGTGGCGTAGATCGAACAGCCGCTGCCAGCCACAGACACTTGGCGTAATGTGACGCTGCTCCAGAACACACAAGCGCGACGCCTTGGCATGGACTGGATCACCAAGCAGCTGTACTACAACACGGACCGGTGCTTCTTCCAGCATGGCGTCCCGGCATCGTCGCCAGTCGAGTCGAGTGTGTCCGTGAACGACTTCCAGGTCAATTTTTCCCCCACCAACGACGCGCTGTCGTACGTTTGGCGCTTCCAAGACGAGTTCAACATGGCGTTCGATCCGTTCCGCGATGCATTACGGGATACAGTTGACGAATTCGTGATGGGTGGGCTCTGGAACAGCCGCTTCAGCTGCTTTTTGGACGAATGCGTAAGCGGATCGTGTCTTTCATGCAATCGTGTCATGGCTACATCGTCCCGTAGATTGTGCCGGGCGGGACCAAATACGCGCGCAGCATCCGCAGTCCAGAGGAAGCTGTCAACTACCTCGTCCGCGAATTTGCCGACACATCCATGGGCAACGCGGGCCATGGCCAACGCGTGGTTTTTGCCGGACGAAACATCCTCGACGACGAGAACCAGCCGCAGTCCCAGCGGCAGTCGCACCGCATCTTTTGGTACGCGCTGGAAAAGTTGTCGCAGAGTCGGACCAAGCTACGTATCCTCATTCTCAAGTCGCAAGACTTCTCGAACAAGGGATATGTATCCCTCGACGATGAAGCCAAGTACTGGGGGTGTGACCTCAAGCCATGTCCGGAGCACCTCAAGCTCCAGACATTTCGAGCGCATGCACACAACGCAGGCAAGTCGCTGTTGGCACACGGCGTGTTTGAGATGCAGCGGCGAATGCTGCAGGTATCGTCTCCGACTAAAAGAACTAGCAGCTGCAGCAGCACCAGTAGCAGCCCCCCCAGTAAGCAGTATTAAGTAGAACGTTTGCCTCATCCCGTGCATGTCGTCGATGCATGAAACACTCGCTGCCGATCGGGCTCGTGGAAGCCCTTCAAACGAGGGGCTTGGTCGTTTAGGTGGGATACGGAGCCGCTCCGCACCACTTTCCTGGCCGTCGAAAGCAAGTGCGTCTCTCCAAAGTCGAACCGCGGAGGTCGAGCTGCGCTCCAACCTGCACGTGGTCTGTATCCATCGGCAAGCACGTCCAATCAACTACTCGGTGGTTTCCGATGGCTCCAATCCAAGACGTGCATGCACAGGTCATCCTGGGCATTGTGTGCCCACGACCCCGCATCGATTACGAGGACGCAGCCAGCACTTGTGGGATGTGCAAATCGACGGCTTATTGCCACCCCGTGCTGCGGCATGCAGGGGGGTGGGGTTGGCTGGACGCTTTGGTTCGCTCGAGGGGAGGTGCTAGTGCGCATCGGTTATCGCCAGTGTCGTATATATATATCCCATGTCGAGCCGTCGTTGGATGGTATTCTTAGCGAGGACGGTCGTTTCGGGGCCAAGGCGCACCCGTCGAACTGTCGATGGTCAGTGCAATTCTGAAGGCATTCAGCTCCGAGTCACCTGTGCCGCCGCAGCGACTGCCCGCCCACTCCCCCATCTCGTTGCAGCGGATCGCAGTATCGTTGTGCTCGAACAACCAAAAGACGCCATGCCATCGGTGGTTGCCAAGCAGGACACAGCGGCGACGGCGGCGGGTGGGAAGAAACAGACCGTCATGGGCCGACTCAAGTCCAAGTTCACGAACCCCCTGGCCAAGAAAAAGGACGCAGCGCCCAACGAGGGCGACTTGCGTGGCATGCAACCGCCGCAATCTGAGCAGTGTAATCAAGGCAGCACGCCACGGCTCGACTCGTCTACGGACGACGACTCGTCTACCAACAAGGACAACGACGATGACGACGTTAACGTGGAGCAGCATGACGACGACGATGTCAACGCTGTCGACCACGGCGAGCCACGGGACGATGACGTTCTGGAAGGTGCCACATTATCCGAGACTGTCCTGTCCAACAACGACCAGCCGTGCAACTTGGACAGCGCAGGAGAGGACCAAGACGACGAATTGCTCGTGAGTGCGCCGGCTTTGGCGGACCTTATCGTTGTCGGCAAGACACCATCCAAACTCCATGCCACGTCGTCGCCCAAGAAGCGCCAGTTTTCACCGACAGATCATGCCTCGTCGTTCGCCCCCGACACCCTTGTCTCGCCCCCGGAGACAAGACGGTCGTCCGAAACGTTGACTTCGTCACCATCGAAGCGCACAAGCATTCAACCCGTCACGGAACGCGCAGAGCCAAACGACCAAAACGACCGTCCTGACGCGCCTACGGCAAAACCGAGAAAATCCCGCGTTGTGGCTACATTCAACGAGGACGCCCCGATCTTGGCGTCGGCGAATGCCGTGGCAGCTGCAGACAACCTCGTGGACGAACGATTGGGTTCGTCCGATGCCGCCCCCGAAGCGACGTCGGTATCCAAGCCAGACTCTGACTTTGACGCTGGCGCAGCAATCACGTCTGTGTTTGGAGAGCGCGTGGCGCGACTCCTGGGCGCAGATCCGTGGGGCGATCGACAAGACGGTTTTGATGCAATATCTCTGTTTGCGAAGAAGCTGGATCCGACTGCACCGGGGGCGCCAACTCCTGTCGCGGTCCTCACAGCCTCCCTGGCTGCCATCAACTGTGGGGTTGTCGACCGCGTTGCCCCAGTCATGTACTGCTCGCTCGAATGTCTTCAACATGTCCTTGGAGTCCTAGCGCCGCTCATAGCCAAGAACAAACGCCTTCTGCAGCACGCTCCTTTGGTGCTACAGCTCTCCGCCCTCCAAACGTCCTTGCTCGCCAAATTGAGCGACTCGAACAAGCGCACCCAACGGGAGGCCATCCAAGGCCTCGTGCGCCTGGCCAAAGCACCGCGACTGCAAACGATGTCATCGCTCGCAACCGCCTTTGACAACGAGCCCCTCGACAAATCTCGACTAGAGCTGATTCACGAGCTTGTTGCAGAGTTGGGGTATGCCGACGTCCCGATTGACAAAATCCTGGCTTGGACAGTGCCGGCGCTAAAAATCGCCGACGAAAAGACGCGTAAACTCGCGCTGGACATTGCGGCAGCAGCCATTTTGCAAGCCCCAGACCAACAAGCCGCCGTGGAATCGCTTACTGGCATCAAGCCCGCCATGCTCAAAGTCTTGCAACGTCGGATCGAAGAACTCAAAGCGAGCCAAGCCCCGTCAGCGAACCAAACCGAATCCTCTTCAGGGGATGGGATGCCAGACGGAGACGAAGTGATCGCGTTGTTTGACGTGCCTAAAGACGATGACGCGAGCGTGACGACGCTGCTTGCGACGGTGATGCGGGAGGCCGAGACGGTAGCCGGGCCCGTGGCGTGGCGAAAACTCGAAAGCAAAACGTGGAGCGATCGAAAAGAAGCGCTTGTCGACATTGAAAAGGTTGTCGACGACCACAAGTCAGAGCTGCGAGATGTCAAGCCGGTGCTCGGGAGCCACACGCAGCAGCAGTACCTCGCGTACAACGGCTTGATCTACCACTCGCTCAATGACTCGATCGCCCCGGTCGTGAACCAAGCAATCGACTTTTACTCGACGTTGATCAAGACCTACGGCGCGCACATCGACTGGCGGGATACCCCCATCAAGGACTTGACCATGCAATCGATCATGCGGCTGCTCAGCGGCATGCAAAAACCCAACAACCGGACGTCCAAAGGAAGCTGCCGCGCAATCCTCAAGCTTGCCCGACTCAACACGCACACGATGCAATGCGTTGTCACGTGTGTGTTTGCCAAGGACGCCGAGCCGCTCGTCCAAATGCAGGTCCTTCGCCTTCTCGTGCCCGAGTTTGGCCTCACGTCGGACCCCACGACCGACATCCCTGGCGTCAACATAAACTCAACGCTCGTGTTGAACGCCGTAGCGGCGGCTCTGGCTCACTCGAACGAGAAAGTTCGGAAAGCTGCGATGGACGTCGCACTGTGTACCCAGCGGCTGATTGGAAAGATCCGCGTCCTGAAGCGCCTGAAAGACGTCAAGCCGGCAACCCTCAAGGAGCTCGAGAAAAACTTTGTCGAGGTCGAGCCCCCGACCGTAGACCGCCCCGCAACGGTGCAGCAGACGCCGACGGCGTTGGGCGCGGGACTGGGTGAAGTCACGGCATCCCGTCGACTGCTGTCCAGCGCCCCCGTGGCCGGTGGGAAATCCGTCGACGATGACGGTGGTGCCATGGACTGGACTCCGCGGGGAAACTCCATGTTAAGTAAGGACGAAGAGAGCTTCATGGACTCGATATTAGACGGCTAACCCCGCCATGAGCCGCCAGCGTGACGAGAAGATCGTCTTTGAGCCATTTATTCCATTTGCTTCAATAACGTTGTATAATAAAGGCATGTATTGACTTTGACTTTGCTCACACGGCGTCGACCGCATTCGTCTCCGCCTTGACGGGGCATTCCAGTCCATCGGACGGCGATGTGCGAGTGCCATCAAGGAGCTGGTGGTACAGGAGGGAGAGATCGTTGAGTGCCGATTGCGCCACGTGCACCACAGACGCGTCCAACGCGACCAAGTACGACGCTGGCAGCAATTCGTTGATCCATTGGATCATAAACACCAGCGCTCCTTGGATCATATCTCGGCGCTTGTTATCTTCATCCTCGGACTCGAGCTTGACTGAGGCAGCGGCGCGGAGGCTGCGACTGAATGCTACGCCTTGGAAGAGGAAAAAGTGGGCCCACAATTCGTTGGCGCAAGTTGGGTCGGTGGCGAGCTCGCCCACGAGTGGTGGAGTGGTGTCCACTCCACTAGGAAACAAGAGACTGCAAATTTTGAGCAGCTCTCCCTGGGCGACGTGAGGTTCAATTTGAAATCCGATCACACATACGTTGTTGTCTGCTGTCCAAGGAGTCACTTGCTCGAGGCATGCGCTCCACGCTTCAAACGCTCCGATTAAATTCCCTTGGACGAGGTCAAGACTCATGCGACAAAGAGCCTTTACCACGCAGTACGTTGTAGCATTGGCCTGTAGTTCCTTGATCAGTTTGAATGATGGCAAAGGCTCGAGCGACCCGTGCTTACCTCCATTAGTTTGGTAAACTTGTCATCAAGCCGTCCTCCTCCAAACGAATCTTCGATATCGTCCACTCCGTCCAACGATTGCACGCATAGAATGATTCGGGACCACACGTTTTCCGACTTTGGCGCGTGATGCCGAAGCAAGTCCTGCAAGAACCAGGGCAAGGACACTAGTCGCTTGCCGTCGCGGGCAAGGGACCATAGCAATGCAGTGTCCGCGACATTCCACTCGGATGACATCGGGGATAAGTACTCTTGAATGTAAAACACATACACCTGAAGCAACAACGCCTCGGCTCTGTGCGGCGTTGAAGACAGCATGTCCACCGCTCGTTGCGCCACGTCATAATGGCAGCCAAGTATCGCCCGGGTCGCTGTATCCATTAGTGTCATCGCTGATGTCGTCATGGGGTCCATAAGGTCCAGGGCAAGTCCCAACGCGTCGTTGCTGTGCAGATAACATGCACATGCTTGGTCGACAAGCGATAACGATTGAAGGAACTGTCCAGCTTCACTCCACTTTTCCCTACCCGGCGGTATGTTTAGCGACCTGCACAGCTAAATTATCGTGGCGGAACGTACAGCGATTTCAGGTGCGCGACGTAGAGCAGCTTCGTTTCCTCAACAATGGGGTCTGCAGGTGCACACCGCAGCTCGATCAACTTGAGCGCTTCCAGCCACATGTTTCCTTTGACAAAGCATTCAATGGCCGCGTAAACCTCTCCAATGGACAGGAACGCCAGCACTACAAATGGAAAATCCAAATCGTGCACTGCGCCACAAAAAGGGAACGACCTACCGGCCTCGCAAAAGTCGCGTTTTTCGCGGCATTGGTTGGCATACAATCGCGTGTATTCCCGCCACATATCCAAGCCTGCCAACGGAGCGTGCATGAGCCAGGTCGGGCCCAGCTTGCCTGGAAAACCGTTGATGCTAATTGCCCCCATTGAAACGAGAGGGTGTACCATGCCGGGCTACCAATCGAAGCGCTTCACCAATGCGTCCTTGCAGCAGCAAGACTCGCCCGGAAGCCTCGACGTCCCCTTCCTACTTGAAAAGGTCATAGGATTTCTTCGTGCCAAGACTTGCCGCTTCGTATAGATCTTGTTCGTCTCGCAGAAAGTCTGTCACCGGCTGTGCATTGCCAATATCTGCTGCCAATCCAGACTGCTGGTGAAACATCGTGGATGCTGCCTTCATCACCACAGTTTTGTGGTCCTTCTTCTTGGGGGTGGCGGCAGTAGATTTCGAGATTGGAGTTGCCTCAGCTGTTGGTTTCGGCTTGGGTGGCATGCTGTGGACCTACGCATTTCAAGGAACTCAAAAACTTGCCAACACAAAGGACGTACTTGGTCGGCAAACGCCCATTTTCGAATCGTCTGGTCTTCGCCGCCACTAACTAACTTCGTGTCGTCGACCCACGTCACTGCCAGGACGCGACCGCAGTGTTCCCTGAAGTTGAAGCCATCAGTGTGCCCAACTTTCCACACCTGGACCGTGCCGTCCAACGAAGCCGACGCTAGGAACGCCCCCGACGCCGACCAGTCCAAGCATGTAATTCCACCGCCGTGACCCGTCAAGCGGTGCTGCATGGGAGACACGGCGCCACCTTGAAGTGCATATACGCAAATCTAGAAAGTGGATGGTCAGCCGCCTGGAGTTACCGAGGTAATGCCCACCGATGCATCGGTGGAAGCTGTTGCCAACAGCGACGACTGCACGCACCACGCGAGAGCTGTGACAGGCTTGGAATGGTCGTAATATGAATGCAGCGTCGTCCAGGAGGCCGAACTTTGGCAAGTCACGAGAGCCACAGCGCCTTCAGGAGTCCCAATCGCCCCAGTGGACGCGTCGGCATGCCACGCCACACACGTTACCTTGGGCACACTTAGTCGTTTGTTTATGTTGATCGAATTTGCTTCCGGGGTGTCGGGGTTGGACGCGTACACCGCGCCGTCGACGTCACAGCTCCACAACACGCACGACGTCGATGGCGCGGCTGTGTCTAAGGTGGCTTCGTCCAGAGCTACGTCGCCATTTTCGATGCTTTCCAAGCTTTTCATCCAGACGTCGGCCGTGTCGTTCTACGTCGAGGTCAAGCACTCAGCGAACAATTGAACAAGTCGGATGGAGCGGTATATACCGCGGGCGTTGTCGGCCGCTCGATGATCCAGTGGACTTGACGGACCATGCCGCCGTGATGGGTCTTGAATCGTGTGTGGTCTTGCGATTGTACGTTGTAAAGACCAATGTGCCCTTCCTCTGTGCCATACGCCAGAAGCGAGGGCACTATCCACGATATGTCATGGAATCACACGAACCGGAGGCGATTTTTCGTACGTATGGGATGCCACGCGACTGCGGTCACCTTGCTCTGCAACCCCTTCCACAGCAGTTGTGACGAGAGCTCGGGCTTGGTCAAGTCGATCACGCGAATAGTTTGATCGCCAATCCCTCCGGCTACGACTGCCGACTTTGGATGGCGCTGGAGGGCGTACACATGGCCACCGAGCCCCACAAGCTTGGCATGGCACTCCATGGACGCCAGATGCGTCAGTCGCACGTCTCGGTCCATCGAAATCGACAGCAACAGGACATTTGTTCGAGATACAACCAATGGCACAATGTTGAAGATCAACCGCGTGTGGCTGTGCTTGAACACCGTTGGCGCGCTTACTTTTTTCTGGTTGGGGGTCCTGCCCACCGCAAATCACTCAAGGATCTGACCGACATCGAAGGAGGCAACGTACCATTCAAAGCGAAGCATGTCACCAGTGACCGAGCTGCATACGATGCCGTAGTTGGACGACGGAATCCAGCAAAACGTGAGCCAGAGACGGCCGAGCTGGTGAGTTGAAATGTTTTTCTTGGGTCGAGGCAACGTCCATTCGTGCAACATCTGTGCATCCTCCCACGACGTCCCATCCCACATGCGAATGCGTTTATCCCGTGACGATGACGCGAGCACGGGCGAGTCGGTGGTGGCATTTGGGCGCCACTGGACGGCGTGGACTTCTTCGTCATGGCCTACTCGAATGGGTCACAACTTGGGAGTGACCACGCACTCGACAACACCTTTCAATCGCGCGACGATCGAACCGTCCATGATGTCCAAGACAAGCAGTTTTCCACTGCGGTACCCGACTGCCACCTGCGGCAACGTTTTAGGGAAGGAGTGGATGGGTGGGTTTGATGGATGAACGCAGATACGAACATGGTGCTTGCGTTGCGGACAAACGGCGATGCTGTAGATGCAATCGCTGGGAATCGGAGTATGCAAGCCAATGTGTCCCCTGCAGTGGAATGCGCCAGTGGTTTGAAACATGGTGGAATGGTGTGGTGTGTCCGTACGAGCTGCGCGTCCAAACACTGAGCACGCCGGTTCTGTCCCCGCCCACGATGACGTTGTCGTCCTTGGAAGATATCGCCATCACTTCTGCCGTCTTGTGTTTCTTGTGGTGGTCCACAAGCTCGAGCGTCAACGCATTCCTGTGAACATGGTTACCGGCATTGAATCCTGCTGCAGCACCGACGCAAATGGGAGACACGAACCAGATTTGAATCGACCCTTCCTCGCCTGCACACACCAACAATAGCTCGCTGTACGTTCCGTGGATAAATGTCACTGACGTGACCTTCTTGTCGTGCTTGCCGCGTGCCATGTCGGCGACAAATTGAGGTGGGGAAAAAGTGCCCTATGTCATGTACGGATGCAGCATTCGCCCGTCACCTGCGGCATGCACCAGCGCCCATTACCTCGGGAGAAAGATCCACCTGCCACACAGCCTTGAGCCTGTGCATGAGTGAGAAGGAGGGGCCTACCTTGTAGATTGCAACACGTGACTTGCAACCATATGCAAGAAAGTAAGTTAACGACGACGCGTCTTGGAGGTGTCCCCACGCTCCAAGCTAGCTCATTCCATCAGCTCTCAAGATCCATTTGACAGGTTGAGCATCTTCCTACTTGAGAGCAGTACCAATTCGCGCTTGGAAGGAAGAGCGCGTCCGACGTCGGCCGTGGCATGGTGTCCCGCTCAATTGGTGAATGCTCGAAACTTCGTCGTTTGTCATTCGTGGAAATTTCACCATAATCGAATTGGATTGGCTAATTGAAAGCAATTTAAACCAATAGATGTAGGCAAACACACCTTGAAGGTGTGGGGGTTTCATCAGCGGTTCATTCCAAGTCGTTCGCGACCATGCAAGTTACGCTGGCCGTGCACGGGCTGACGTTTCCAGTCGCATGCGGCGAAGGCATGCAAAGCATCAAGTGGCTGGGTCTGGTGGCGGCACAGCGCTACGCCCTCATGCTTCCCCATGGTCGATGCCGAACGCGGGAAGATGCGCATTCCAAGAACGGGTTTTACCTCCCCAGTGAAGTCCGAAACGTACGTCTGTGCATGTTTGTATCGACGACTCGCACGCTCGACTGTGCTGGTGCTGCTCATAGTCATCGTCCACAAAACTCATGTCGATGTAGTCTGAGGGCGGCTTGTTGAGTCCGTGGTCGCGGATTGTCGAGTGTGTTCGGGAGAACGAAACCATTACGATTGTGCTTCAGGTACTCGCCGTGTCTGAAAATCATCCCGCGAAAACGCCGTGTTGAAGCAAGGGACATGTTTCAACTAGCATGAGGTTCCCGTCGACGACATCGGCGTGCCGCAGCTGTCGTCGTGGGCCGTGTCGGCATTCTCCAACGCAAACAACCAGCACGTCGACCACGACAAAAGCACCGCGGCGGACGAAAAGAACGACGTCGAGAGCTTCTCCAAGGGAGACAACCGCAGCAGCGTGTACAGCAACATCCAGGGATATTCGTCGTCGTTCCACGCCAGCCACCTCAAATCGGGGCAATTCATCTCGCAAGACGAGCTCGAGAGCGCATTTTACCATGACGTGGCACAGCTCGAGATTGACGAATTCCTCAAAGACCCCAAGGACAAAGTAAATTCCTGTTCGCTGTGGCATTCGCCATTAAATGTTGGTGTTCTGTCAGGAAGATGCCGAGGATGTCCTCCTCAAGTACTACGACAGTCTCGTCGCGATCTTTAAGCACTATGGCCTCGGCTACGGCGAAGACTCCTTCGCGTACGACCGTATCGACGCATGCAGGCGAATGTTGCCACCTCATCAAGTGTCCTGGGATCCATGTACAGAATGTCCGGCGCTGAGTTCAGCCACTTTGTGCATGAAACAGCGTTGCTGCACTATGTCAAGGACGCATCGCTCCTCGACAAACTGTTTGTCCAGGCGCTGCCCGACAACGAAAAGGTCGCCTTGTCCCGCGTCGGGTTCATCCAGGCGCTCGTGAGCACAATTGTCACGTACAACAAAATGTACGGCGACGACTTGGCCTTCCTGCCGGCGCTGGAGAAGGCGCTAAAGGACGCGGTCAAACCGGCGTGCACTCGTCTCACGACGGGGCCATTTCGCGACAACTTGCACTCGGACGTACGATCCCCATCATTCGATGCGACCTTTTCAGACAAAATGGCCGACGCATTCCATGTCCAGGGGATGCTGTCGATGCTCCAAGAGGCAAAACCAAAGCTCGCCAAAGTATACGACAAATACGCGTCCGGGAAACAGTACGTTGTCTTCCGCTGGCGCACCCTGCTAGTCGGAGGACGGACGGCTCATAGCTCGTGCAGAAACAACGTGGAGGGGCCGATCCTGAGCGTGTCGGACTTTCGGTCGTTGGTCCAAGACAGCGGCATCTTTTGCACGGGCGATAGCGACAAGCACGAGGCGCTGTTTAACCAGGTACAGTGGTGCGCTCGACGATCACAGCGGACATGCCGCGTGAGTCGGGCATGCGTCATGTGGTTTTTGCAGGCGATCAACCAGTGCTTCACTGGCATGAGTGAGATTAAGGACGGCGAGAAGCAGTTTGTCGTGTTCGTCGAGTTTATCGAAGTCATTTGCCGGCTGTCGCTTGCGATCTGGGCCGACAAGGACGTGTCGGCCAAGGAAACGATCCGCATCGGCCTCGACGCTGTCCGCGCACTGTCCAAGACAGTCAAGTAGTGACGCGACGACAAGCGGAATAAGGGACATCAATGCAATGAGAATAAGTTTAACCATCGACCGTGGGGAGGACGACGTCGAGGTGGAGAGATTGGGACGTCCGCCTCATGCAAATGCTGCTCGGGACGGCTCGTTCATGCACGTGCGGACAACCATGTGCCACACGCGGAGCAACTCGATCGCGTCGAATCGAAGCACCATCGGGGGCTGCGTCTCAAATCGGACCTCCATCGCGCCGTCGTGCACCGCGGCGCTCACACCCGTAACCACGTCGTACACTTCGGGAACGATGTCAATGTTTGGGGCCATGCTAAACGTCAAGTGGCGCAGGACGTAGAAGTACCGCCCGATGACCTTTCCCTTCGAATCGAGCTGGGAAAGCCAGGCAGACAGAATGGTTGGAGTCTGTCGCTTCGCGCAGCTCTTCAGGTACCGGTCGACACCGTATGAGAGACGGGCCATGCAGTCTTCGACGGCGGAAAACCACGCGTTTGCCACGTCCGGCGAGATGCATCGAGTCTTCCATACCTTTTTCGACTTCATGTGAAACTCAAGGAACGTTGGCTTGCCTGGAGACAACGATGCGAGAGAGACCAAAGGAGCTCGATGGCATACCTCTGGACGCTGCAACGAAGGCGATCGTGTCACTGCGACTAGCGGCCATCCCTTCGTGGTCTGCGACGGAAAGCTCAATGCCTTGGAGGGTGAAGAAGCACGTTTTCCACGTCCCAAAGAAACCTGTTTGGATCGTCATGTACCCGGCAAAGTTTTTGTGGAACGCGCCATGGGTGCAGCTTTGCTTGAAGTCGTTCTGGTTTGCCGAGAGGAGGCGGGTGGTGCTCATACTCGCCAAGGACGATTGCCGTCGCGACACCTTCTTGGCCATTTCTCGACGTCGCTCGGACGGCGCGGCCATTCCGTTGACGACGTTCATGGCGATGCCTATCAACGGAATCTCGAGTAAAAAAAGTGGATTACGCCACCTGAATTCCATCGGAAGAAAATAGACGTTGATTTTTATCTAGGAGTTTGTATCCACTTTGTCGCATATTTTTATGGCAAGGAATCTCTCCGACTCGTGACGTTGTGGCAACCGGGCGATGTGAACCAGGCTCGATGGCCGGAGCGGAGAGGTCTACGCTTGTCCTAGGCACATGCATCCTCGACAGCGCCGTCCCTGGTATGTCTTCATCGCATCTGGCGCGCATGCTGTGTGAACATGGTGAGTTTCGTCTGTTCTCCGACTGCATACGTGCTCAGATCCTTCCACTGTCCTTCTTCCAAGCATGAGGACCGCGCCACCAATTCCGAGATTCGTCCGTCTTCCGACTCATTGCGGGCTACGTCCACGCACAGACAACCATGGATAGGCAGCATACAACGAGAAAGGTGGCTAGTTAATTTAAGATGTAGTTGGCGCGGTGCGTTTCCTTGAGGCATGTGCGCACTATTCGCTGCCAACGCGTCCACGATTCGACCGAGTCGCATTCGAGGACGAGGGTTGGCGCCGTTGAAAACTTGAACACGAGAGCGCAGTCATGATCGTCCGACAACAAAATCGCGGTCACGACGTCGATTTCTTGCGGTGGGAGGTCCACGTCTGCAGCAACACTCAACGTGAGGTGCCGCAGCACATAGTACTGTCGCAGCCCACTCGCGTGTTTCTTGGAGGACGACGTCGACGTTTTCGTGAGCCACCCGCACATGATGGTCGGGAGCTTCTTGGCGTCGCACGACCGCAAAAACTTGTCCACGGTGTACCGGGTGCGTCCTTGGCAGTCTTCGATGGCTGCCATCCACGCGTTCGCGGCACGAATCGACGGACACAGTGTCCGCCACACGTTCTTTTGCCCGAGCAAGTGAAATTCAAGGCCCCCAGGTTTGCCTACAAACGACGCGCCCTGAGCGACGTACCCCCGCGCATGCAAATCAAGTGGCGAGGACTACCTTCCCACGGCACTACTTTTTGGATGACGCCGACTCGAACGACGGGGGACGGCGTGTCGTCCGACTGCGCGAGCTCGACTCCATGCAACGTGAAAAAGCACCGGGTCCACGAGGCGTTAAACAGGCCGGACGGCACACTCATCCATCCTGAAAAGTTCTTGATGTATCCGCCGTGGGTTTTGGATTGCTTGAACAAGGTCTGGTTTGCCGACATGAGGGGCGCGTGTCCGCTACCGGCTACCCCTTCGGATGACGTCGCGGTCGGCTGCAGAACTTGGGCAATCGCTCGGTACCAGCGCTTCTGCGTGTCTCCGTCCTCGGCGTACACGTGGAGCTTGCGGTTGTTGTCGAGCTCGATGAGGAGTCCGAATGCGTGGGTCGTCATGCAACGTTGGACGCTCTGTACACGGCCGTAGCCCTTGATCGCGACGGACGACTGCATGTCCCGGTACGACAGCACTTCGCCCAGGAGGGTGAACCACCGCTTCTTCCAGTTCTTGACCAAGCTGCCCTGTTTGTACAGCCAGCCCTCGCAAGTCGTCGCGGTGTCCAACGAACTTTGAATTCCATAGTCGCTCTCGTGGTGGCTCGTCGAACTCCGCGACGACAACGAACTGGTGCGCCGTACGGGAACGGACGGCGGTGCGATGTTCAGATCCGTCGGCGGTCGCGGTGGCTCGAGCGTCGATTGCAACGATGCTGCCAATTGTTGTGGCGGCGTCGCAGGAGCAGACGAAAGAGTTACATGAAGAACTGGTGGCGGCGGCGGCGTCGTCGCGGCCACGTGTCCACATGCATCGAGAATGCGCTGCATCCACGCTTCCTGCTCGTCCGTACTCTCTGCTTGTACGTCCAAAGTGCGGTTGGGAACAATCGATATGCTGAGAGCGTATGGAAGTTCATGCAGTTTCTTGACGCCCACGACCATCCCGTACCCCTTGGGTTTCGCGCCCGGCCCTTCCATGTACTTGAGTTCTTGGCCGTTCAAGGTAAAGTACCGCCGCTTCCAGTTCTTCACGCGTTGTCCGCGTTTCAACAACCAACCTTCGAACGATCGCATGGAAGCGCGGCGATGGCGTTCGTTCACGTCCCTTCGCGCCATGGACTGGAGCACAGGTCCCATCACCATGGACGCTCGGGACGAATTGAGCGAGCTGCTGCTCATCGCCGACGACACTGGCGGTGGGAGCTCGTCGGTGAAGGTGTGGCGCACCGGGTCCGTGATCGACGTGCCGCGCCCACGCGAGACGCCGTTGAACGACTGCATTTTTACGTCCAGTAGCTCCTGCATCCGACGTTCTTGTCGCTTTTGTTTGCTGCGGGCGCCATATTGCTGACCTAGACTCATGTACTGCGATTCGTATCGTTTGTCATCGTCCGTGTCGGGTTCACTCGAGGTTTCCGTCATGGCTTCGGGATCCGCTGACGCCGTCCCAAACATCGCAAGGTCTTCCATGGACGGCGCCGCAGAGCCCGTCAAGATGGAGTCACGAGCATACTGGTATTCATATCCTTCTTCGTTCACTTGGGCGAGAGGCTGCGGATTGCATCCATTGCCGCGCATCGCGTGCGTCGGGCAGACGGCCGACGGACGTTCAGAGCTCGAATGGCAGGGTTGAGAGACGGACGCTGCCCACTCGTATACTGAAATCAAGAGAATTCGTCGTTGCCTTTGCCTAAATAGGTCAAATTCGGACCCGTTCGATCTGGTTCATTCAAACCAGACCGAGGAGTGGTGATGGTTGCCGCATGGCTCTGGTCGAGGACGCTGGATGTTCCTCGGCGTAACGCTGCGCTCTTCCCTGCACGCACGCAATGCGCTGTGGGAAGCCACGAGAATGCGATGTTTCTATGTCAGTGTCACGACGCAGCGGACGGATCGAACGGCCTAGTTGCTACATTCTGTGATCAACATGAACTGTCGTTATCCTAGTCGTGCAGATGAGGTCGCTGAGACGGCTACAAGCTCCAACCCATTGCAACGAGCCTGTAAATTGCTGGGTGCTGGAAGGACATCCGCCACAACCTATCGTGCGACGGTCGTGACGGGATCATCCACGTGCAGCAACGCTCGTTCGACTCATCGGGAAGGGAGGCGGCATTCATTGACACTGCGGCGGCGGTTCATGCTGTAACCAGAGGAATGTGCCGCCGCAGAGTGCCACGACGGATCGTGTTTCTACGTTTGCCTTTCAACAGCAGCCTATCTCGAGCTCAACACTGGAGGTAGCGACCAGGTGTGTTTGCTGGTGAATGCCGAGAAACCACTCGAGGACGCAAAGAGGAATCGCTTGTGGGCACTGGCAGGCGGCACGTGCAAAGGTTGGTTGGAGTGCCCTTCACACACGTGTGTGATGTATAAGGACTGGCGCCGAGGCAAGGTCGAGCCCGCGTCAGTTTGTTACTGTCCTGCCTTTCCAGAGGGAAACTGCTCACCAGAGGGAAACGACATGAGGAGTTTCAACTGGTCATGTGGTCGGCCTCGAGTGGGTTTCCGGCGAAGGCGTGGGCATTGTTGCCGGTCATTGGGCTCTATTTGTGCCTGCGGAGCACTGGTACGCTAAGTTTAGCCGCGCCAGCCTATGAATAGGTTCCAACGAGCTCAAAACGATGAAGTCGGGGCCAGTTGACCATTTCAAAGCCAAGCGGTGACGGCAGGCAGCATGAGTATTTGGCCGAAAAAGGCTTGGAGTATCGAGGAGGAACTCCTGAAGAAGAAGAACAAGTCGATCGAGGAAAAGTACCAGTCTCTGCTTGGTGAATACCAGGAACTCCGTGTTGCGAATGCCAAGTCCATGGCAAAGCTGCGCGAACTGGAGCGGTACAAAGAAATCTCGGACGACATTGTCAACAGCGCGTCCACGTCACGGCGGTACGATCAGGTGCTCTATCGGCGACCAGCTCACCGCAGGGTGTGTCGGGCAGGATGGAGGAAAAGGAGCGTATTGAGATCACGAGCCAGATGCAACAATACCGCGACAAGCTTGAAGAGGCGGTCGAGAACATTTGCTTTCTCGAAAAAGAAAACAAGCGGCTCAAGGCCGACGTGACATCCGCCAAGCTCGATGCCACAGTACGACACGCACACGTGTCAGCGCATCTTCGTGCTCATACTGGTGACGACGTAGACCTCGAACGTCCTCCTCAAGACCCTCGACGACTCGAAATCAAAGCTCCATTCGACGGAAAGCCGCCTCCAAATGATGCGCATCGAAATCCTCGAGCTCAAGAACCGCAAAGCCGACTTGAATTCGCAGGTTCAAGACCTCAAGGCGCGGCTGCACTCGGCGGAAACGCTGGCGGAGCGAAAGTCCGACGAATGCAAGCGGCTAACGTCCAAACTTGAGGTACGCATCGCTCTTTGGTGTCCGCCGTGAACGATTCGATCCTGCAGTCTGTTGAGTCGGCTTGGGACTCGACGCGCAGCCAAAACAGCCGCATTCAAAAGGAAATCCGCACAGTCGCCGAAGTCGCCGACATCAATCGAGAATTGAGTGAAAAGTCCAAGCACCGCATTGCGTCGCTCGAAAACGAAGTCGACGCGCTCCAGCTCAAGCTCAAGACTCGCGAACGCACGATCGACGTACGAACAAACACAGTCGCCGCCACGTTGTCATCCCAAATGCGTAGGAGCTACGCACGGACAACGTCGATGTCCGCACCGAGCTGAACGTCCTCAAGAAAGACTTTTCCGAGCTCCAAGCAATTAACAAAGACCTGCGCCGGCTGTCTACCGAGCACAACAAGCACGACAAGGACACTGAACACGCGTTGTCGATGCACGAAACTGAAATCAAGGTAGGCCCGTCCGTTGGCTTGTGTCGATCGATAACGACGCAACCTTTGTTTGCCAGTGTTTGCGAGAGATGAATCGATCGTCCAACGAGCGCATCGACGAATTGTCCGCCGAAAATGCCAAGCTCCAGGCACAGCTCTTGGACGTCCACGGCGACTTTCTCAAGAAGGTCCAAAGCGACGCGTCGTGGAAGCACAAGGAGAAGGAAAAGTACGTGTTGCGTGCCATGTCGGCGTCGCTCACGTGAGTGTCCATTAGGTTGCGCCGGGAAGTTGAGGAAGAGATGGACGTACTCAAGAAGCCGCGCGTGTGCAAAAACTGCCATGAGTCGTTCACACTGGAAAAGAACAACGCCCAGTCGTGCACGTATCACCCCGGGCGATACCTTCCCCGCCAGTACCCCCTTGAAGGGTACTCGTGGTCGTGCTGCTGCAAACGGGACATTTCGTCACGTCCGTGCAAGTTTGCCGGGCGACACGTCGAGCGCGAAACCCTCTGACGGAGCTGTCGCCCAAGCATGAGGTCGACACGGCGCGACTGAATCCTAGTGCAGGTTGCACGACCACAACAGACTCGAACCACGAGTCTTGACCTTGCATAATAAACATTCCGCTGTGCTCTGCTTCGTGTGTTCCGATTGCCGTGAATGCTTTGTGGCCGGTACAGTCTCTGCGATGCACCCATCCGTTTTGATGGGATGCATCGCCACTCCAACGAAGCCAACCCACCACCGAGGTAAACATACGAGGCTACATTGATCAATCGTCGTCCAAGTCGGGCAGCACCCGGCCGGCGTGGACTTGGTTGCCCGAACGTGTCGGTACTTGGTCGTCGTCATCGTCGGAATCTGGCAAGACCCGTCGGCCTGCATGGATGTGTCCTGCGTCATCGTCGTGGTCGCTCTCGTCCGAGCTCGACCCTTCTTCGAGCCATTGCCCAAACGCTTCGGTCCGCGCGGCTTCTTCGACTTCCGACTCTTTGATCACATAGTTGGTGCCGTCCCAGTACCCGCATTCGATGCGTTGCCCGGCAAACCATCGCTTGTTCATCTTTTCAATGCACGCTTCGGCGCTTTCGGCGTCGTGGTACTTGACGATGACCACCCCCAGTGGATGCGTTTCAAAAAACGTGATTTTCGCAATCTCGCCCAGCGTCTCGCATTCCTTCTTGATGTCGTCCTTGAGCTCGTCGCCTTCGATTTTGTCTGACCACATCACCCCGTGTCAAGATCAGCATCGTCACAGTAGACACGGACGTACCTGCAAAGTCTTCGACTTTGAACATGTGCTTGAGCACAACAATGCGAAACTGTTCGTCGCCGCCGGCACCCCACGACAAGGCCTAACAACACGATGCAGTGTCACTTTCGCAGGATGGATCGCACCTTTTCCTGCTCGAACTTTTTGACTTTGGCGCGGTTGTCGAGCTTGGTCCGCTTTCGCTCGACGAATTCGTCGCCTTTCTGGTTGAACACGGCGACCGACACGTCAATGGGACACCTACCGAGGAGTGTATTAGCCACAGATGCGATCACATCAATGGTCCGACTTGGGTCGAATGTCCGACTTATCGAGAAGCTGCAGCGCCAGTTCCACCGATGGTTCTTTCATGTAGCACACCGCGCCATCTCCCTACGCAAAGTTCGATGAATGTGCCAGTGTCCGCGGGAATCTAAACGTCGTACGTTGAGCTTTCCCGTGTCTTTGTTCCGGTACAACTTGATTTTGGGCTCGTCCGTGTGCAAATCCTTCTGGATCACGCCGCACTTGACAAAATGGTCATGTACTTCTTGGACAGTGATGTCCAGAGGTAGACCATTGATGTACACCCACGTCTTGTACTTGGATGCAGTCCATTTTGCCTTTTTTGACTTTGACTTTTTACGTTTCTTCGGGTTTCCATTGGTCGTGGTGGCGGCCGGGGTAGTGGGAGTTGTTGGGTCGACCATGCCTCCGTCTTTCTTGGCCGTCTGTTCGGCTGGAACTCCTTCTTCGATGGGGCGACTGGCTGCTACGGACTGGACGGCAGCTGAAGGCGTCTTGGCAGCCTCGTCGCGAAGTTCCGCCAAGTCTTCCAGTTCCTCGAGAATTTTGTCCTGAGGCTGAAGTGAGGGCCACGCATCAAACGATGAAGAATTTGAGATCCATTTACCTCTGGAGTGACCCATTTGCGTGTTTCGCTGTCGTAAATAAACTCTTTGCCGTCTTCAGCAACAATCGCGCGCGTTCCGGAAGTCGTGTCGTCATGGAATGTCTGAAGCTTTGGGTCGATCGCTTCCTTGGTCGCCAAGATCGCCTCTTCCTTTTCGCGTTCGAGGTTGATCTCAAGTAGTTCTTCCTTCAGGACGCTCACTTCTCCCAGTGGGGTCCATGTTGCAACGACTTGGCACGAGCTCCAGACGAGGGTCAACCCGTCGATGTTGCCGTCCTCAAATTTTGCCACGAGCTCCGCCGTTGTGATCGGCCCTTGCTGCACTTTCAAGTGGTCAAAGTAGTGCCACTGAGGGATTTTTTGCCACAATACACACACGGGCGTGAACAGAGGGACGTCCTTGGCCATTTTCCATTCTGCCATGGCTAGCTCTGGCGACCACACGAACGTATCGCCTTGGACGAGGCCACGACGAAGTAATCTCTTCAACACAGCTTCGTCCATGGGTCCTTTTTGTCCTCCTGAGGTATCTACATACATCCACTTCTTGTTTTTCATCGGAGATATATCCAGTGGAGGTGCGGCGGCAGGAGAAGGGGCCACATCATGTTCTGCGGACGCCATGGTCGCAATCCTGCGGAAATTCATACGAAGTAGGCAGTATATTGGCATATTCGATACTCCGAGTATTTCAATTTTGGCCAATCAAGTCATACAGTCTGGAACGTGATTATACAGTCTGGAACAAAACTATAATCGTACCAACTATTTCGGATGTTGCAATGTTGTATCGTCATCAATCTCGTTGGCTCATGCACCAAAGAATGCAGTTGCAAATGCGGTTAGATGCATGTGTGTGCGGAATGCAGTGCTCGAAAACCCACCGCAATACATCCAAATATAGAGGTATAAATTGTTGCACAGACTTCGAAAACCAATCAATTCAAATTCATTACAGACACGTTTGATGTGAACATGGACAAGTCATTGTCCAAAATGCCAGTGCGATTCCAGCAGTAGACAACGCTTGCTTTCGTTCGTGTTCCTCTTCAACGCAAGCCCAATGGTAGATTTAGTTGGGACCCGAGCGAGATTAAATGAT